ACAACATAAGCTACGCAGACGACATGGTGCTGCTCGGTCCCATGGTGGAGAGCCTGAAGGAGATGTTCAATGTCTGCAAGAAGTATGCTGCTGTACATGGGCTTACGTACAATGTCAAGACTGAATAATTGGTCTTTGAGGCCGCTGGTAAATGTACCGTTAACACTACTAACATTACCCTTCTTGGCTTGAACATGAAACTTGTGACATATTATCACAATCAACCTGAAAGACTATGATGATATTGAAAGGTAGCGTAGGGCTCTAGTGATTAGAGGTAATGTGTTGGCTCGCAGGTTTTCTCGCTGTACGGAAGAGGTAAAAGTGAAGCTTTTTAAAGCATACTGTCAGACCGTGTACACGGGAAACTTGTGGGTCAAACTCAAAAAAAAATCATTGGACACCCTACCAACCCAGCACAACAATGTCTTTAAGATAATGTTGGGTTTGCCGCGTCTTGCAGTGCATCAAATGTTTGCAGAGTACCAAATTGATGGCTTCGAAGCCATCATTCGCAAAAGAAAAACATTGATCAGTAGAGTGAGCAACACTTCCAAGTTCCAATAGCATCCTAAACATTTGCCGGATCGATTCACATCACCACTCTAGTTGTGCTTTGTGCGAAGTGTGGTGATCACAGGGACTTACCCTTTTTTCTGGTGGTCACTCTTAGTAGGTACATAAAAATGTACCTTATATTATTCATGTATATTGTAATTTCTAATTTCTGTACCTATTTAATTTACTACTAACATAGTTTTAAGTTACATCTCTAACCCATATGGATTTATAAGTTGTCCAAAATAAACAATTATTATTATTATACTTTTACAGCTTTATGTCGCTTTTTTCCGCATTGTCATTGCCATTTTCCCGCAAATCCATGCAATAAGGTTGTCAAATCTAGACAGAATCCACGTTTAAAACATCAACAGCTGTTCCAGCTTCAGTGACTGTTTATAATGTGCATTATCAGTCCGCTGAAAATTGAACCCTATTTTTTTCGAAAATTGTCAAGAACTAACAGCCACTAATGTGGATATTAAAAATATTATTTTCTTCAAGATTGAGAAAACATACTTTAAATTCGTATGTTGTAAGCAAATGGCGCACGCCTCACGCTGCTCGAGAGACCATTTCTGCTGCGTAATTTTGTCACCTGACTTTTTTTTTCATTTTCTGCTTGTTCCTATAGAATCATCTTAAGAGAAAAGTTGAATGTATGAATCAAATTATAGGAATAGAAATAGGATATTGTTCAAGAAATAAATTTACATACATACCTACATATTTTATACAAGACAGTATATGACGCGATGAACAGAATAATTTTTTAGTAATTTCTGTACTAAAAATAAGTACCTGCATGACCGAGCTTTACTCGGTGCTTTATTTGGAAATAATATTTCAATTAAAAAAATAATAGTATTATTACTCGGCAATAGATGTCAGGAAGAGTCATATTTTTCAGTTTATGTTTGATTATCGATAAAGAGTTATTGATTTGACTTTTATCTTTGTACCGAAACATCGCCAATAGGATAAAAACATTTGCACAATGTCGCTTTCTTTACTAATGTAACTACTACCGTATTCTCTTTTTTTTTAAAGCTCGGTCATTTTTTTTTGTGTTTTTTTTTTAAAATATACTTAGATACAAATTAGATGCGTTGATAAAGGCCCTCTAATAATAGTTTTTCTTTACACAAAAGAAGGAATTTGGAAAAAAATCGGACTGGAGACATCTCTGGACTCGAACCGGGATCTTCTGGTTCCGGGACCGCCCGTTTTCCCACGTGAGCTATTATAACTTTGTAGGTTGTGGTAAACGGATAATGCCAGATCGTGCCCCACCTTGTACAAAAGAGTTAAAAATATGAAAATAATCTTATGAATTTTGACGTTTTTTGTGATAAATCGTTATTTTGTACACTTCCGGTAAAATATTATTTTAAAAAAAAAGGAATTTAACAATTAATATTTACATTTCCCGTCTTTTCTAATAACATCTGCGTTTCTTTGTACGAATAAGTACATATGTACGTATCAAATAATACATATTTCTATTAAAATATATTATATGTCTTTGTCATATAAAAATGTTACTTATCAATATTTATTTTCAATTTTTATTATAACTCGATAATAATCATGAATTGCATTAGATAATTACTGAAAAGTTTTTAACAGTGGTAGAGCCACGCGGCAGCTTTTGCTGTCGCACGGATGGGCCGGCTCGAACCGGGGTGGTACCACGACCTCACAGAAAACCAGCGTGAAGTAGAGGTTTACCTCTGCGTTTCGCTTGGTGAGTGCAGGTGGCCGGAGGCCCTTTTTACTGGAAATGAGGCATTCCAGCTTAGTCCTCACGGGTGCCAACGCATCTACATTTTGATTTGTAATAGAGGATAGATGTAGATGTCTATGGGCCGCAGCAACCACTTACCATCAGGTGGACTGTGTGCTCGTTTGTCACCCTTATCGTATAAAAAAAAGAAAAGAATAACAATCATTGATTTTCGAGCATTTTTACACACACGTCATTGAGTCAATATCGTAAGTACGTATGTCAAATTAATGTCGAATATTTTCACATATTGACTAATTTGTGCTTGTGAAATATATTGATTATGATTATATCACATTTTTGCATGTGCTGATTCTCGCTTTCTTTACCGTTGCACTTTTTCCTGCTTTTGCTGACGACTTATGCTATTATTAATTACGGGACTCACGCCTACTTATTGACTTACTGCTAATTACTACGGACATTCTGATAATTGCAACTACGATGTTAAGGTGCACTAATTGTCATCTTTGCGTCGATAGGATTCAGGGGCATTTTGTGTCGATGTTTTGTTTTACAATCTTAACTCTTCTTTCAACATGGAGATCTTTGCAACAGATATATTTAGTTTTATAGTTTTTTATATAGTTAATAATTTATGGTCCTGCCGTTGTCGTAAAATTAGTTACTAATCTGTAAATATTTACACCTTCTTCAGACACATGTCATAATAATATGTATCTTGAAAAATTTTGTAAATAATATAACATTTTATGAAAAACAGCTGGTACTAGTCTTATATTGTGTAAGGACCTTTTAGATCCTATACAAGATAACCCTTTTTCCAATGTTATTGATCATTATATTATTATGTTTCTTAAATTCTTATTTTAATTTATATCATTAGCGCCTGACAATTTATATTCTGAAATTACAATGAACTGCAACGAATGCTGTTCTAAAAAATAAGGTAATTGTAATTATTAAAGTCCAGTTTAAAAAAAAATCGTAAGTTCTAAAGACTTCTAATTATATCATTTGGAAGAAGTAATAAACTAGAAAAAAATGTTGCATACGGCATTCGTGTACACCACTTTTGGGTAGGGCAAAGTTCTATAGCGAATCTGGCATTTTCCTTTACGTTCGTATTCTAATGATATTGTAGTAGTTTATAAGATTATTAATGTGTTAATTGAAAAGTAAAAACAATGCGTTATAAGCCTTTCATCTCAATTCTTATAGATCATTGATGACAACGCTTCTGCAGCCATCTTTGTACTAAGTTTTATGTTTTTAATAGATTGATTCATGGTCTGCAATGCTAAACTTATTGATTTGGACCTTTATATTTGCACTATATCCTGCATAAATGGCATCGTCCCTTAGTAATAGAAATTTATAGTCTATGACGAAATTGAGAAATCAATCGTGAGAACAAAAAAAATATCAGTTACATGGTATAATGAAATTTCGCAAAAATTCATGACAAAAAAAACAAGCAGGAAAACATTAAATATTACATTTAATTAAAAGTATCTTAAAAGAAGTAGAGAATATCAAGTAATTTAGGTAAAACTTTTTATAATATCTGCCTATAAATGGGACAAATTATAAATGCCATACACTTCACACGTTAAAAATGTGTGTCAAACTTCATAAATTCTCTCTTTATAATAAGATAAATTATTTTAATAGAAAACATACATAATTATTTAATAAAATATTGCGGTTACAATAAATCAAGTTATTTAAATAGTCAGTCCTGAGATCTCCAGGGGCAGAAATGCTATTTTTTTTCTGCTCTTATATATTTTACCACGGACCAACAATGAAAGAAAGACGGAATTCTGTGTACATTTCAAATAACGCAAATACCTAACCAAAACCATGTTCTACTAATTGTTAGAACACACATTTACATAACACATATGCATCTAAAACATTTTGTAACCAATAACATGATTTACGGTACTCATGTGTGCTTCCAGCAATACACTTTTACGTTCTGATAAAGAAAGAAAAGTGTTGTGCATCTGTCTCTGTGCATGCATGAAATTGATTGGATCACTTGACATGTGCATAGTGCTCCGTCTATCTTTATTTGATGGACGGAGTATTTTACATATTTCATAACTCTTTTACATATTTATAGAATTTACATATAAAAAAATATTTCATTTTTGTCTTTAGGGTGTAAAATAGCAAATTGTATATAGGGTCAGGCTGTTACATAATTATGTTAATTAATTTAATACCTTAACAACATTTTTAATGTTTTTGTTTTAAATTAGTAATTTAAAATAAAAACATTGATGTTTGACACATTATCAAGTTATAAATATTTTTACATTAAATAATTGCACTATGTCTGCGACTCACATAAAATTCTGTTTTAAGCAACAATATCTAAATATATATGATATATACGGCAGCATTAAAAAATTACTGCAGTTAATAATTCTTATATTATTTCATAAAATTCTTCCCTGGAAGACAAATTTTTCAATAATAGATAATTCTGCCTTAAATTACTTTTCAGTCAGGTTCACAATATTTTTCTTAGTAGTGAACATTTTTATTACATACTGTCGATGTAATGAGGCACAGTGAACAACCACATTGTTTGTTCCTTTAGAACACAAATAAATCAATTTTTACATAAAATTACACAAGACTACTTGTATTATGACTACATTATTAGTAAAACATAAAGTCACAACAAAATACCATTGTTAATTCTATTCAGTTCCATGTTAGCCACAAGCAAGATTTCATCCCATTTGTGTGATGGTGTGTCCGGAGGAGTTGTAACACCAAGTTTTGTATCATTGTCTGGTGTAGTAAACTCCAACCTTCGTTTTGACCTACTAGCATATACATGGCAAGGAGTAATTTTTTGTTGTGTATCCAACACTGAGAGTGGAGTTATTGGTGAAGGTATTGCAACTGCAGTCTTGTCGGGCTTTTTTATTTTATAAGGTCCTACATACTTAAATACTGGTTTCTTTAATATTAAATTACCAGAAACTTTTTCAATCAGACCAATTGATATGAATACATTGGCGATATCGTAGAGTCTCCTCACTTTGGACTTGTGTTGACGATCCAGTTGCTCTGGCGAGAAGTCAGTTTTGTTTTTGTTAGATGTGTCTATAAGTACTTTCACAGCCATCTCTAAATTTATAAGAGTATTCTGTAAATAATAAAATAATATATTATTGTGAGAACTGTTAAATATTAAAAATTAAAACTAATTTACTATGTACAAATATAGACAACTAGGAATCTTAGATTTTTTTTTGGTTTTCATGTTATTAAACACAAAGTTTAAGCCACAATATTCCCCTACAATTGGAACTGTGAGTAACCATATTACTTAAGTTTTAAACTAAAACTTAGATTTCTTGTATACATAGTTCAACAAACTTTACTTTTGTAACTTGGAACATAATGTCAAAAAGTTACAGTAATGTTAGTAATATTTAACAATTTTTTTTGTGGTTAGCACTAAAGGTTTGGCTCATCTAATGAAGGCCGATGGTCTAAAAGAATATCAGCGTAAAATTGTGCATTGTGCTTGCCTGATTGCTTTCTATATTTTGTATGATTGAAATTTATTATTTTGTGAGATAAAACCAGGAGACCCTTTTTACCAGGATTGAGACATTCCAATCTTATTGCTTGGGGTGACAATACATTGTGATTCTTAATCAAGGGTAGATATAGGTGTATTTGCATCCCAAAATCCCTTTTCATCAGCTAGAATGTGTGCCTGTTTGTCACCCATTCTTGCATAAAAAGGATACATGATGATTTTCTCCACGTCAATTCCAATTATAGCAAAAACTTTAATATTCAAGTTAGGAAATATAAAACGTTACAAGTTTGTATGCCCCTAAGCTGGGAATGGGCTTCCTCTCATTTTTGAGAAGGTTTTTACTTCACTAAAATCAAAATCAGACAGAAAATCATTAGAAAAAAAGACATCAAAATATTTATTTTATAATTACTGTCATACTAGTTTCTTTACAATGTTTCCCTGCACTGAAAATTACAATTAATAATTTCCTTGGTGTTGATGGGAATCAAGTCCAGGTTGCTGGCATATTGTTTATGGGCTGAGCTCTTAGCTCCTTATTACCATGGTTCACATGGAAATGTAAGGGACTAACAAATACAAATTAATTTAATTTGTTTGCAATATATGGGTTACAACAGGTCTTAATAATTTAACAAAAATACTGGCTGTGTTCTACCTTCCGGTGTGCAAACTTCTTAATCACAAGATTTTTTTTTATACTTAAAATGGAAAATTCTGATAATTATATTTACATAATGTAATCCTATTTGTATATTTGCACTACTAACATATTAATAATTCACTATATAGTAATATAATACAAGTAATAATTAAAATTATAATGTCAAAACAACTGAATATTATTATGTCTCACAATTAATAACACAGATAAAGTTTTGTGGTTCATTCAATAAATTTGATAGTTAATATTTTAAAATTGTGAAAGAAATAATCGTCAATATTATAATACGCTTTTTTAGTTAAAAATATATTTAGTTGTTTCTTAAAAATGTGAAGGCTTTAACGGTGGTAGAGCCACGCAGCAGCTTTTGCTGTTGCACGTATGGGCCGGCTCGAGCCGGGTTAGTACCACGACCTCACAGAATACCGACGTGAAGTAGAAGCTCTGCTTCCACGTTTCGTCTGGTGAGTGCAGGTGATCGAAGGCCCAATCACCATGGTAGCGGAATTACACGAAAGACTACCCTAGGAGGAAAGAAAGACTACCAGCACCCCTGGAGAATCCCTCGCTGAGCATCCACGACCATGTTATACCAGTCCTGAGCGTGGGTGCTCAGGCTGCTCCGCGTATTCTGGGGGAGGCAAAATTCCACTCAACACAATAACTGCTCGGGGCAAACTGAGCAATAAGACCAAGGCGACACCTGCCACGCTATCCGTGAATTTCTGCAACATCAGGGGACTTCACTCGAACCTAAACATCGTCCACTACCATCTTGAGACGGCGAAGCTGGCCTTGCTCTTTCTGACCGAGACGCAGGTGTCTTCTCCGGCTGATACTTCGTATCTCTCCTGCCCAGGGTACAAATTGGAGCATTCCTTTGTGCCTCGGGGCAAATATGTGTATGTCAGAGAAGACATCTGTTCTCGACGCCTCGGCAGTCTTGAAGGTTCGGATCTGTCCATCCTTTGGCTACGCGTAGACAGCGACGACCATCCGCGCGTCTACGGGTGCCTCTATAGGGCCCATAGCGGTAATGCCGAAACAGACTGACTCATCGACCACGTCCAAATGGCTACAGATTCCTTGCTACAACAGGTCCCATCCGCAGAGATCGTGATCCTTGGCGATTTTAACGCCCACCACGCCGAATGGCTCGGTTCACGTTTAACCGATCATGTGGGGAGATCTGTTTATGATTTTGCCTTGGCATATGGTCTGACACAACTGGTTACATCGCCTACGCGGATTCCAGATGTTGAGGATCATACACCTTCCCTGTTGGACCTTCTGCTGACCTCTCATCCGGACGGATATCAGGTTTCCGTCGATGCCGCTCTTGGCTCTTCGGACCATTGTCTGATCCGGAGTGTGGTGCCACTCACGCTCCCCTCGCGGTTGCGTTCTGCAGGTTGGAGTGGTAGTGTTTGGCATTACAGGTCGGCGGATTGAGACGGAATGCGGTCTTTCTTTGCTTCCTACCCATGGGGGCGGGTTTGCTTCTCGCCGGATGATCCCAGCGCTGTTGCTGACTCTGTCACTGATGTGGTGCTACAGGGAATGGAACTATTTATTCCATCATCTGTGGTACCCATCGGAGGCAGATCTCAGCCTTGGTTTGGTCGTTCCTGTAAGACTGCATTACGCAGTAAGCAGGAGTGTTATCAAGCCTGGGCTGCGGCTTCGGCGACTCGAGATGTAAACACCAGCATACTTAAAAAGACACCAGCATACTTAAAAAGAAGTATAACTTCGCCCCCAGGTCCTTCAAAAGAGTTATTGCCAAGGCAAAGTCAGAGCACATAGGCAGAATTGGCGAGAAACTAGTTTCACCTTCCTTCGGGAACACGTACATTCTGGTCTCTAGCCAAGGCTATCCAAGGGAATTTCTGTAAGCCAGCACTACCATCTCTGCACAGGGAGGACAACTCACTGGCCCACGACGCAAAAGAGAAAGCCGACCTTTTAGGCTTCCTTTTTGCGTCCAACTCGACTGTTGATAACGGGGGGAACACACCGCCGACCATCCCGCGGTGTGAGTGCTCCATGCCAGATGTGCAGTTCTCACAGCGCTTGGTTCGCAGAGCACTCCTCTCCCAAGACATCCACAAGTCGAGTGGGCCTGACGGAATCCCCCAATTGTGCTGAGGACATGTGCTCCGGAGTTGGCACCGGTCCTAACGCGTCTTTTCCGGTACTCCTACTCCCTAGGCGTAGTCCCGAAATCATGGAAGACAGCTTTTGTCCACCCGATCCTTAAAAAAGGCGACCGCTTAGACCCGTCCAACTACAGGCCTATCGCCATCACCCCCTTGTTCTCCAAAATAATGGAATCCGTTGTAAACTGCCACCTCATGCGGTACCTTGCGGATCACCAGCTGATTAGTGACCGCCAGTACGGTTTTCGTCGGGGTCGATCAGCTGGTGATCTTCTGGTCTACTTAACTCATAGATGGGCGTTGGCAGTAGAGTCCAAGGGGGAGGCATTGGCCGTTAGTTTGGACATTGCGAAGCCCTTCGATCGGGTTTGGCACAAAGCGCTTCTTTCGAAGCTCCCTTCCTATGGGCTTCCCGAGAAATTATACAATTGGATCACCAGCTTTCTTGCAGTTCGGAGCATCAAGGTCGTTGTAGACGGTGCATGCTCCGACTACAAGCCTATTAACACTGGTGTTCCACAAGGCTGCTTGCTATTACCAACGCTGTTTCTTCTGCATATCAATGATATGTTGCAAACCGGTAGCATTCATTGCTATGCGGATGGCAGCACTGGTGATGCACGGCTGTGCCAATATTTCTCGGGAAAACGTCACCGAGTACCGGAAAAAACTTGTGTCTGAAGTCGAGTCTTTGCTGGACAAAGTCTCGAATTGGGGGCGACTAAATCTAGTCCAGTTTAATCCTCAGAAGACACAAGTTTGCGCGTTTACCGCTAAAAAGAACCCCTTTGTCGTATCTCCTCAGTTTCAAGGTACTCCCCTTGTTGCCTCAGCCAGTATCGGAGTATCGGCGTCGACATATCGAGTAGCGTGCAGTTTCGTGGTCACTTGGAAGAGAAGGCCAAATTGGCCTCTAAAAAGCTTGGCGTGCTCAGCAGAGCGGGACAGTATTTCATGCCGGCTCAACGCCTGCAACTTTACAAGGCGCAGGTTCGGCCTCACATGGAATACTGTTCCCATCTCTGGGCTGGGGCTCCCCAGTGCCAGCTTCTTCCACTTGACCGCATCCAGCGCAGAGCGGCTCGAATCGTCGACGACCGAGTCCTTTCCGATCGGCTCGACTCATTGGCACTGCGAAGAGATGTTGCATCTCTTAGCATTTTCTTTCGCATTTACCATGGGGAGTGCTCTGAGGAATTGTTCGGATTAATCCCAGCCGCCAAATTTCACGAACGCACATCGCGGCAGAACTCCCGATACCATCCACACCATCTGGATGATTGGCGGTCCACCACTGTGCGATTTAGAAGATGTTTTCTTCCTCGCACAACTTCCTTGTGGAATAGTTTACCACTAGCGATTTTTCCGGACCGATACGACTTAGGGACCTTCAAGAAAATAGCGTACTCCTTTTTAAAAGGCCGGCAACGCATCTGCAATTCCTCTGGTGTCAACCGCAACACCAGGGGAATTCATGGGCGGTGGTAGTCACTTACCATCAGGTGAGCTGCATGCTCGTTTTCCCCCTCTCCTATAAAAAAAGGCTCTTAGACTCTCTTATATATATATACGTAAACGGTTATACAGACGAGGATCCATGCAGAATTCGCTTATTATTGGGATGGCTCAATTTATCTTTATGACGCTGGACATTTAGATTTTTGTAAAGACTTAAGTTTTGATGTACAAATAAGACTACCTCATATATATATATATATATATATATTACAAATTTTTTTTCTGTGATATTGATTTTTTGTCCTAGATAGTTGATATTTAAATTATTTATTTTATTATGTTTTTGATAGAATGTCATTAGTTTTATTTTTTCTAAATTTATGTTTAGCCAATTCATGATTTTCTCTAAAGCAAAATGTATGTTACTTTCTAAATCTATTTTGTTTTTACTAATGAAAATAACTGTGCTATCGTCAGCAAATAATACCATTTTGTGATTGATGACACTGAGAAGGTTGTTGATATAGATAAGAAATAACAATGGTCCTAAAACACTTTCTTACGGTACTCCAGTTTGCAAGACTGTATTCAGAAATATAGGTTATTTCTTTTCTTGATTTTAGACAAATTTTTGTAATGTGTGTACTTTGTTTTCTGTTAACTAAATATATGTTAATAGATCTAGTGTATTACCTTGAATACCATAGGCTTCAAGCTTTTTGGTAATATTTTATGATCAACATAAACAAATGCTTTAGTAAGATCCATATAAAGTACACATTGAGGTATTTTATTGTTAAGACTAAACATAACAGTATTGAAATTTTTTTATAGAGCCATATTTATAGTCTTATTTTTTTCTAAATCCTATTTGTTCTTCTCTAAGAATATTGTATGTTTCGAGGTAAACATACAAAGAGTTATAAATTATTTTCTCAAATACTTTTGAGAGCACAGGTATAAGTGCAATAGGCCTATAGTTAGAAACATTCTCCTGATCATTCTTTTTGAACAGTGGTTTGATAATTGTAGATTTTAGCCTTTCTGGAAATATACCATTACAAATACTTAAATTGAAAATATAACTAAGTACCAGAGCAATTGTACTGAATACCTATTTCAAAACTCTTGTCCAAATTTCATCACAACCGGTACTGTTTGTATTTTTAAGAGATTTTATAGATTTATCTATGTCAAATGATGTTGTCAAAACAAATCCAGTTTTAAAACAAGATCATTTTGTGATTACGTTTAAAACCAGTTACAATTATTGGATTAAGCCCCAGAACCTGACAATAGTCACATACTCTGACCAATAGACCAAGCAGGCATCATCACAATAATATTAAAAAATTTTGCATAGTACTTACTTGTGGTTCCACTAAAAAAAGCATCAGAAATCTCTGAGCCAACACTCCCAGAGTTTTATGTTTAGGAGCAGGTGGTTTAGGAGCCCTACCCCTCAAAGCCTCAGACAAGCGTAGATTTTCCCCTTGTTTCTTCAACATTTTTAAAAAAGAATTTAGCCTAGATCCTCCATGCCATAGGTAGGTATTTTTTCTTTTATGAACTGCACATTGCATTGCTTCCAAAATATTTATAATGTCATACATTCGTCGCTTTTCTACTCCTAGTCTGGCCGCAGTGCTGTCCAACTGAATTTCCATAGTTCCATTGCAGTGTAGGGGATATAGGTTAAGAAATCTACAAAAAAATATATTATACATGACTGGTTGTAACATTAATTGTTAAAATAATGTTCAATATTCTTACTTGTCACATAATATTTGCAAAGATTTTTCTTTTCGATGCACTGCACTTGGAGGCGGCGTGGGATACTGTAAGGCGACATTAGTTAAAAGCTTCAGGTTAGCAGTAGGAGATACATAACTTGAGTTCGTGACTTCAGTAAGGGCACATCGCTTCGGAGTAGAAGTTATGTTATCATTCTCATACATTGTGCAGACATTATGCAAAAATCCTGTACTCTAAAATATTCGCGTACTTTTTGACAGATAAAATTGAAATCAGGTTGGTTAATTTTTAATTTGATACAAGGATTATGAAAAAAAGACGTATAAGTGTTTACTATTAATATATAAGTTATACATAGCGTATATGTCGATAATTTTGTAAAAAATTAAAAACCCAATAACCTAAACGATAAACAACTTTGACAGTAGAAGCAAACGCGCGCGAGCTAGAACCAAAGAGTATAGGTAAGGATCATTATAATCGGCTGACAAGTGACAACTGGCGAAAATACCTCGTATAACATACATCCAGAAAAAAAAAGAATAAACATTTACTACCCGTGCGGTTAAAGAATAGAATTGAAATCGGCGTCGCCTTTATTCACCTCTCGCTTGCATACTATCGCTATACACACACACCGGTAAGAGAAAAAAAATATACATTGCGATATGCGTTTTTCGTACGTTCTATAATTTATAATTTTAGTACGTCCAACTTGTCATTGAAATCAATGATAACATCCAAAAATTAAAATCCAAAAAAATCAGTGGTTGGGTTTAGAATCAAGTCGCCTGAATTTGAGAGTCTGTCACTTGGGTCAAGGGGGCTTATCTCAAGCGCCCCCATGCAATTTTAGCTGCCGGAGCTGCGTCGAAATATTTAATATAATTTTATTATATTTCATTCATAAATCACAAATTAATATCTGAAACGGAACTTTTGACATTGACATTGCAGTAATTAGTTACAGATATACTCGATCAAAGAGAATATAATCACTACGTTTAAACTCGACTTCGCGACTCGCGTCATAAGCGTCATTCCGTTTCTTCCGAGTTTACGTGAATGTGTTTCTTATTGTTATTATCTGCCTCCTGTTTTTGGATGACTTCGCTATCCCTCTGGAGACCGATTGCTTGCTATTTTACGACTTTTTTGGAAATAGTGGAAGTTATAAAATATGTTTACTTATTAAAGTAATAATAAAAGTTAACATTTTGGTGTTATTTGGTGCAAGAGCGAGCGAAGCGAGCTCGGGACTTGGGGCACCCCGACTTGGACAGTTAGGTAACTCGTTAGGTTAGAAGGGGATGGCGGGGTCGATTTATAAACCATCCAGAAATAGGGGCCCCGCAAAGCGGGGCCCTTTCAATCGAGCTTCCCTCGACAGCGCCACGTTGAGTGGCCTTGGGCTACCCTCCCTCAACTCTCTGCCCCCACAAATCAGGTTTATATTGTCAAAAACATTATGAAAACAAAACAAAAACAAAACACCTCAAAATGAGATTTCTAAAAATTTATAAAAAGAAACTAAGCACATCCAGCAGGAAATGGCAGTGGGGGGTGACTCTACAACTCCCTTCAACCTCCCCCCACCACCCCCCAGCGCCAAATTAAAGCGACTTGATTCTTTCTTTGAAACCTTACCCAAAATCAGTCCTGTTTTGCTAGTATGTGAGCCACGACACGTTCTGATAGTTTTCTTCATAATTATTGTCGATCTTATTTGTTAATATTTTTGTATAAAATATATATAAGTACATATTATTGAGACTTGAGTACACATTTTTAAAATTTTCGTTTGTCTATCTATCCGAGCTAATCTTTGGAATGGCTGAATCAATTGTAATAAAATTTCACGAACAAATAGAGAGTAAATAGCAGAAGTGATCTAGACTAAATTTTATCCAAAAAATTTAGAGATTTCATTAAAATAGAAATATTGATAACGTAAAATATATCATATTTAAAGATTCTCTTAAGTTGTCAATTAGATCCCACCCAGGCGAAGGCAGAGCAGGTCGTTAGTTATTAATGTTATTTTAAAATTAATGTACCTACTTGTGTACGCAATTATTTTCAATAATTTTCCCATTAATAGAAAATTTCCAATTAATCGTATAATATTACGTGATAACCATAAACCGTTATTAGCGGGGTTTCGCTAATGGTACTGTGCATGTTGACGGTACAGGCTCGATGACCCGCCATTGCTAATCCCAGTCTTTATCCGTATGGGCTATAAGTGATTCAATCGCTAATCTTGTTTATAGTGATTCTACCCATGATCAATAGTGCAAGTAACGAAAGTAATGTTGCAGAGAGGCTGCCTTGTTCACATCGAAATAAGCAATGATGCTGTTTTTTCGCAACACCGCTTATTTTTTATACTTAATATAATATTTTGGTGATATCGTGTTATTATCCATCTCACGTTACACTAAATGTGTGGATATGACCGCAACTATAAGTTATTATAGTATGTTTAGTGCGGTACACCGCGACTTAGCCCGCGTGTAATTTGGTTTTATTTTTTGCGCGGAACCCTAAATCATTTTCTAAAATAAAAGTAGCCTTAGTTACTCCTCATAATATTAGCTATCTACCAGTGAAAGTCACGTCAAAATCGGTGCAGCCGTTTCGGAGATTAGCTGGAACAAACAGACAGACAAAAATTTTAAAAATTGTGTTTTTGTTATAAGTACTGTATATACTTTCATATGCATTTAGTAAAAAGCTGTTATGACATTACAAAAAGACACTTCAATTTTATTTATTTGTAGGTATATATACAAGGATTTGGTGAATGATGACTGGTCACCCATTAAGTAGAATGAATAAAATCATAGGGATCGAGTAGAATGAGTAGAAGAGAGTGGAAATTGTAAAATTAGAATGTAGAATGCAGAATTTAAAATAATTTATTAATAAAATATGACTCCTTGCTTACAAAACATGATCAAAATCTTCTAGCCTCCGTGCGGATGTGATAGCTGTCCGTGCTCACCGTCCCCGTACGGTGAGTGCCTTCCCGTCTCCGCTAGCGCCACCGCCCCCGTGCGGTTGTGTTAGGTGAACGCGCTCACCGTCCCCGTACGGTGAGTGCATTCTTGCTCATGCGACTCCCACATTATCACTCCTTTAGTACCGCCGCCCCCGTGCGGCTGTGTGTAAGGTTGTGCCCCGCGCCCCCTTCCCTAAGAGGTCGCTTCCGATGCGGTAAAGAAGCCATACAGGCCAAAGCCAGTCCCACAGGTGGTGTTTAGAGGGTAGGAATTACATAGTGAGTCCCATATAACCACGCAGCCGGCTGCGTAGTATGCTATGAGCATTCACCACCTCCCTCCCGCGCTCCCGGAGGGTATCCTTGCTTTGGGCGCATAAAAAATTGAAGCGTCCTATTTCTTCGGAGCGCTTGCGTCGGACGGATCTGCATTCCTGCTGCGCGTGTTGACATCTTCGTAATACATCTTCATATCATATCATATCTCTATGCTAATAATAAAATAGCTCTTTCCAGAGCTGACTTTTTCTATTTCTCACGAGACTTCGAGTGTAGCTACAAGGATTAATTTAGTAAGCAAGAGAGTAGTTCTACATCCGTTATGTATTTATCTCTCAATTCAACTGATTTTTTTTTTAAATATGTATGCTACGCGGTTTTTTCGTGGATTATGAACCGACTTTAATAATTCTTTTCTATGAAGTAAGTTACACTTGCGGGGTTAAGAAATACTAGCTAAACTCCTTGTTGACGGGAACTTTACCACCAGCGCGGCGCGGTGGATCTCTGAACTTGTTTTGTCGTTTATATAACGGATTGAAGTGGATTTTGGTACGTAATAGTGGTGCAATTTGTATATTAAATGTCTGCGTACTTGAACTATAAGTGGAAACAATGCAACAAGTGCTACGATGGTGGTGATACTCGTAAGAATCTCATTTACTTTTATCTGTTCTGGGACCTTGAGATATTACTATCATCAACTGTTCACTGGTTTGTGCTGTCGTCAAAATCTTCCACGAACTTCGTGTGTGATGCATCGGCATATTATGAAGTTTTGTAAACGAAATATAAATAAGACTAGTCTGCGTGGTTTAAGACTTTTGCTTAACTTAAATGACGAATCGTTAAACAACAAAGTAGATTCCATGGACATACATGTACTTCCTTCCGTGGTAGATTCTGTTTCATTGACAGACAGTGTGACCATATCTGACAGGTTCCTGCCATTTTGGCAGGATTGGCCTCTTATTTTAGCCTCTGGCATGATCGGTTGACGTTTTATGAAACCTGGCAGTATTGGGGTATTAAAAATAGATATCATTATAGCAACTTAAAATGCAGAAAGCGGCAACCCTTAGTACTTTAGCAGCATGTAGGGGATTTCCTTGTACTTCTAGTGTTATGTTTGTATCACATTCAATTTACACTTTACAAATTTCTGTGTAAAGTTTGTAATCTTAAAACGAGTCATAAACACGAGTTTATGGTTAATATTTCAATCAGTCAAAGAAGAGACGTACTTTAGTTTGGTATTGGTATTATGATTGTAGCAACGAATGGGTCGGCTCAACCGGGGTAGGACCCACGCTCTTACAGAATACCAGCGTGAAATTAGCAGCTTAATGTTGGTGTGTTTCGTGTGGTGAGTGTAGAGAACCGGATAACCTTTTTACTGGAAATGAGGCATTCCATCTTAGGCCTCAGGGGTGACAACACATTTGCATTTTGATTCTTAATTGAAGATGAATGTCGATGTTTATGTACCGCAGCATTCACTTACCATGAAGTGGACTGTGTGCTCGTTTGTCACCCTTTTTCTATAAAAGAAAACTGCACATTGGTATCCCGACTGTCCGCTTTAAAAGAGGATGCCGTTACTAGTAAACATTAAAAAAATATGAGTGGATTCAGCAGGCGATGGAATATTCTCTCAAATAAATTTAATTAAAACAAAAACACGAAACATAATTAGATATAAACAAATATGTAGCGTGTATCTCGCACGATAAACAAGGCATTGGTGAGCATGGCGATTGCATTGCATTCAAACCCGCGAAAGATATGTTTAATTTTAGTTTAATAAAAATATAGCATTTAAATGTGTATTTTACTTTTCTTAGTTTAATACAATTGTACAATGGGAAATAAAGTTGGCAGTATTTAGGCATTTTTCACTACAGATTTTGGCAGGTTTTTAACCAAAGTAAGGCAGGATCTGTATTTTAAAGATGGTCACACTGTTGACAGATGTCTTAGCCAATTTATATTCAATGTAGACGTGGGTCGTTACGTCATTTTCAAGAAACGTAACGAAACAAGTGACTTGGTCTGCGTCACCTGTTTCAAAACTAGTGATTTTTGTAACTGGCTATTTTTATTTGGCTACTGTGATTGTTTGCATAAATACCACCAAGAACTATACAGTTACACACGAAACGAAACTAAATTTAATCACTATCTAAGTGTTTCTAGCTATACAATTAAATCAATAAATTAACTTCCCTTCATACTTTATTCAGGCTTAGAACTGACTGCATTAAATGAATTTATGATTGTTTTGTATTTACCATGGAACTAAGATTTTCATAAAATTATTAATGCAGGGGTATTTACAAGTCAATTTGATTGTATATACAATGATTATTGATATTCACAGTTTATTTAAACTTGTACAATCCACACTAATTATATTTATATAATATAATAACAAAGAAACGTTACCGTAAATGTACATAAAACACCAAAATAACATATAAATGTAAATTTTTACAAGATAGTATTCAAAATTATAATTAAGTACAACGATGAACTAAAACAAACTAAATTATTTTACTTAAATTCAATGTGACTATCGCTTCCCGGAATTGCAAACCGTTGAAATTATTTACAAACAGAGATCACTCTATTTATATTGTCTATATCTATAGTCTTACGTATGAAAATTAAACGTACAATAATACTGTTACATACGCTGTTTTGTTTATTATTGTATGCCACATGTGTACTTTGCGCTTGACCGACCGACAGTCGACTCTCGCAACAATCACATTCCTGTATAGGACAGTTACTATACTCTTTGATCACAGTAATAACGCATTTACAAAAATCACTACTTGTAATATGACTCGAAACTAGTGATTCGGTTACATGCCGCGTAGCCAGTTATTGTAACTAGTGACGTGAAATAACGCCCACGTCTAATTCAATGTCTGTGTTGTGAAATGTCAACACTTTACGGAATCACGAAAACTTGAAGGTGAATTTATCAACCGTAATTATTTTTTATCTTTCTATTCTATGTCTATCACGAGAAGCCATAATTTAAAAGAAAAACATTATCTTCCCATTTACTTCTTTATAAAAGTGTATGTGCATTTTTCAAACTTTGGTTTTAAGATGAGGTGTTAAATACTTAAAATTTCCCTTATTTCCATATATGGTCCACTTTCAAATATCCGTTTGAAGCTCTATGATATCACCCTTCAGGTATTTTATATTTTGGTGTGCCTAAAAATTCTGTGACTCAGCAAAAATGTATTAGTATATTACTGAAAATTGGGACAGATGACAGACAGGAGAGACTTTACTAACGCCTCTAAGATTTTTTTTGATAATGGCTTTGTAGGTTCAGCTGTCTGTATAAAAAATCCATGTGTCACATCAATTTTTACTGGTGAAGCAGTTGATATTTTGGAAACAGTTTTATTCACAGAAATGCAACATTAACAAATGTATTACTGACTTTTGACTTTGACTTTTACTGACTCTTATAATTACATTCTTTCTTGTAGTTACTTGTATACTACTGTAAGCATTATTTCTAATACAGTTCGAAGTTAATCTATATTCCCAATCATTTTTAAAATAAAACATGCACTATATAGATGTTTTTTAAGGAATTAATATAAAACTTGCTTGGCTGCCAAGTCATAGTTGCATATGTTGCAGCAAAACTGTTAATTTTTGTAAAATACCTTCCAAACTACTTCTGGGACCCTAATGTATCACATAACTGATATTCATTAACTTATTTCTCTCGCAAAACTTCATTAGATGTTATCTTTGGAAAGAAACTTAAGATTCTGTAGGAAAATATTATACAGGAATCCAATCTGACATCCCCTCTAAACCATAGTTTTTAAATTCAGAAATAGTTCCATAGTACATCTGTTTTATGTAGAATTAGGTTAGGCCATACTTGTATTTTTGGTAAAACTTAAGATTCGAGATAAGCTCAATTTGTGAGTGTGGCCAAGACGAAGGTGAAGGTGATCATTTTTAACTGTGAGTGTGAGAATTTTTAACTGTCCTAACCTCACATACTCACTATACAATTTTCTTTTAAGTGATACTATCTGTCCTATAAGACTTTCTTTCTTTTTTTGTTTGTCTGTCGTTTGTCTTCACAGATCACAACACTTCTGCATTTTGATTCTTAATTAAGGATAGATTTTACACTTACCATTTGAAACACAAGTGTTAAGCTGCTATTTTAAGCTAGTATTCTGTGAGCATGGTCCTTCCCCGGTCGAGCCGACCCATTCGTGCTACAACTATACTACTAATATAGCTGCAGCATGGCACTACCACATATATAATAAATATCAATGATATTGTCATATAATATAATATCAATATTAAATTTTTGATATTATATTATTGTAATATTTATAAATTGCATTTTCCAAGAGTTCTGGTTTTTAGATGAGTGTTTACAATAAATAATACTAATAAATACTTTACACATTTTTTTTACATATTTTCAATTTTGAAATGATATTGTATAGAAAAAATACAAAATTTAAATAAAATTTGTTTGTGTTTTGAATAGAGAATTTTTATACAAAAGTATTAAACATTTTAATATGACTGCCCGCAAAAAAGTATGATTTTAAACTTTAACATAATCTGAGATTTGTTTCATTGTATAAAGACAGTACTGTTGATTATTTTTGCCCAAAAAACTATCTCAGGGATGTCACACACATGGGATTGAAAGCTTAAATGTAGTTAATATTAATATTACATACCTTTTAATAAACATAATCAATTGATCTTTTACAGTTATTAATACCATTATAAGTTAACCTAAAGTTTGGTACTAAATATGACAACAGACAGTCTGTGTGTTGATGATAAGGATTTTTTGGAGAAATGTGAAGAAGAATTCAAGGACCGATATACAGAGAATGATGAAGATTTTATGAAAATATTTAATGCAGAACCATCAAATCCCCCAATATTAGAGAACTGGTGGGGATCTCAGAACTATGGCCGTCGAAATGACCAGCGCAGTAACAGGCGATTTGATCGTTCAAGTAATAGGCAAAGAGGCAATGAAGATCGGGGATACCGAGACAGGAATTACCACCAAGAACGTGGTTACGAAAACCGCAGCTACCAAGACAGAGGCTACCAAGAACGAGGTTATCAAGACAGAGGTTATGAAGAACAAACATATAGAGGTAAAAGGCACTCAGATCAGGATAGTCGGGATAGTGGTGATCACCCTCCTAAGAGAGGAAGAATGCAGTGATGACAATGTGTCATACTGACTTATTTTTTTAAATTATTACTGTGATGATCAGTGTTCAGTATTTATATGTACCTATTTGTCAGAATTTATGGAAAAATAAAAAACACTATTTTTTCAAAAGAATATATTCTCAGTTATTATGGCTTGATTTATATTTTAACAACTTAGAAGTTACATAATAGATCACCAGTAAAATAATACAGCTACAGAATCTAACTAAAAATAATAACAGAATAAATAAGTATTTATATATATATCTCACTGCTACTCAACAATTTAATTATTATAAATTTTTAACAATAATTATGCCGATAAAATTTATTATAAACCTAGTTTTGACTCTAATACATTCTTGGTGACAAACAACAACGTTTATAGTATTTTGCATGGATTGAAAATTTCCGATTAGATTGCACTAATGATGGTTATGCATAAATAACTTTATTAGCGTTATGATCACTCGCTCATTCCTACTATGACCAATATATTGCAAAACTATGTAGCAACAATTTCATAACAAATAAATAAATCACCAATAATCTCAATTAGGAAATGTTTCACATTACCACTATAAATCTAGACCCGCCAGTGAGATTTTTTAATGAAAATTATTGTAATGTTTTAATAGATATAAAATAGTGAGATATTTAATTATATAGTTAAAAATATTTTTGAGCTTAAGCTGTTGTAAGCTTGTTACTCAATGTGATAAGTGTTCTAACTTTCTATTAAAACAGAATGTAAGTTAATTCCTGCAGTACGCTGAATACTCAATACACGGGTCTATATAAAATAGTGATGTTTCATTGTTACAATATATATGGCATATATGCTTAGCGACATGAATGTAATAAGTAGTGACATGAACATCCTTAAAGCTACTTGAATTCATCACGGATAAAATATTTAAGCCCCTATAAAACGTAGAGTGGCTTAAAATTTACACTTTATGGAAATCATAGCCGAAATTCATTGTATATTCGATGATCATTCTGTATATTTCAACAGGGATTTACGTGAATAATTGCGTTTTCCAGCACCAAGCTATAAACAAATGCATCCACAATCGTCATTTACAAACAATACTTTTTCCCCTCGGCTGCCAGTGCTGTCCTCATAGCGCATAGCCTATGGTGCTGCTGTGCTGGTAGCAATGTACTTACATAGCTAAATAAATAATTTCGTACGACCAGATAAATCTGAGTAACTTCATGCTAAGTGACACAATTACTAAGCACAATGACGTTTACATTGATCAAGCTCTAGAAGACAACTATAATTTATTCTTTCCTATGATAATTAATGTTATAATAATATATCGGCTACCATTCGTGAAGCGTTGCATCAAAACATATTATTTACTCCTAGAATTTATTCAGTAATCAAATATATCATTTTAATATTTTGGTATTTAATTTAATTTTGGAATGAAAACAATTGAATAATTGTCATAAATAAATTTGGTAACAACTAATATAGTTAAAATTGTAACGCTTCATACATTATAATGAAATGCAACCATATTAATCAAATCACAGTGAAAGTGTAACATTAAATATGCTCACTTACTTAAACATTATGACTCAACACATAGACATGACGACAAACAAAACATTACACATCATTACAAACGACTAAATATATTTAATTATATATTTTTTTCTGTTGATGTCTTCGGCTAAAATGCATTTTGTATATAGTATATTATTTCCAATTCATGGTTACGGCCACGCGTCGATTTTGAAATTACGTTACCAGAACGCGTTTGTGTCGCCAGCAAGAGAATCACGGGTGGCCAATGTGATCATTGCTTTCTAAACACAACGATCAATCTCATAATAAACCCCTACTTTAACATAATACAGTGATATTAATCGTTACAAATATGTTCTTAGTATTCTTAACAACGCACAGTATAATTATATGAATTGACACGTGATTATATGGGAACGTCGCCCGTTCGCGTGCGGGCGCGTCTCCGGTGTACGTTCGCGTACGTATCGCAAACCGGCTGCAACAGTGAAGGCAGTGCGGTTTGTGTTCGCGTGGACACCGCAAGCAAACTGCGGTCTACCCACTCCCCCCGACCCCTCCTACCGTCCCGACCAACCCCACTTACATACGAACGACAATTGACTAGGTTTAATGCACTTGCTCCAGTTCGCAACGCCGAGCGGTACTCGGTCCGAACGCGCCTAAATTCGGAGAGAATGAAAACATTGGTCAAGTTTCAGTACGTTTGACTAGAAAAGCGCGTGCACGTCTCGACAACGTTAACGCATCGCCAAAGAGTCGATGCGAATACAAAATCGTTTTCAGACTCATCGGTACTAAAGTTTGAAAAGACTGACTTGTAAAAGTGTCAAATCTTCCTAGCAAATGTTCATAAGATAGTCTAAAGCTTATATTGATGTGAATTGAACGTTTGGAGCGCTCGGATCGCAATATTGCGCTCAGATGAAGGTCCAGCACTCCATGATCTTGACGATGAAATCTTCGCTAGTCGTCAATGGTTCGTTGCCGTACGTGGTGCAACGCTGCGTGCGGCCCTGATACAAGTCGCCGTCCAACCAAAGACCGAATTTGCCGCTGTAAATATAAAGATATAATTAGTAGAAATAATATTTCTTTTTACTCGTCGCCCTTGGACATGTGCCTCACACTCATCCGTTGCGGCGCAGGGTAAAAATGTGATTGGGTTCATTGACAACTTCAGTCTATAAGGTCAACATTCATGACACCATCATGGCACGCCATTTTTAAATTCATCATAAACATCTTTAAAGCCTTTCACAAGTCTGCAATGACTTCCAACGCATTATATATGGAATAGTGTACTTAGATATTAATATTATGGAAAAGCGAACGCTTCAACCGAATGTAGAAAAGTATTCACCATGAGCACCAGTTATCATTCAACTAATCTAGTAACCCGTGCGAGTAAAGAATGGGATTAGAAATGGCGACTCACATGGCGATGTCTACACAGCATACATGGTTCTAAAGAACAGCGCTAATAATGTTATATTATATACAACGATATTATAATATTTTTAAAAACTATGTTAGATTTATAAAGAAATTTTCGGTTGTTGCAAAAAATATGATTAGTATAAAAAACAATTTTTTTTTTTTTTTTTTTTTATAGGATAAGGGTGACAAACGAGCACACAGTCCACCTGATGGTAAGTGGTTGCTGCGGCCCATAGACATCTACATCTATCCTCGTTTGCGAATCAAAATGCAGATGCGTTGCCACCCGTGAGGACTAAGATGGAATGCCTCATTTCCAGTAAAAAGGGCCTCCGGCCACCTGCACTCACCAAGCGAAACGCAGAGGTAATACCTCTACTTCACGCTATTTATATTTGAATATTTACTATTTATAATTGAATTACTTATGTAATTTATTAATTGAACATTACCATATGGTAAGCAAAATTAACAAATAATATTTATTTTGAGTAATTAAATCACCATGACTACTGTCGGGTCTGAAATTAGAAGCACAATATTTTGTGTTTGTTACAGTAGGTGTGAGTATTGACAGCGACAGTGTGTAAGCGAGAAGTGAGTAGAGGCGACGCTAAATTTTATCCCATTCTTTATCTGCGCGTGTAATAATATTTGTGGCGTCGCGTCGCTGCCGTTGCGCCACAAGCGAAACGCCGAATTCGGAAGTACTGCGGTATATACATATATAAAAGCTCTAAACTAGCACACGGAGGATTGGCCGCTCTTCGAGCTGAATGTCTTGCTCGGTGGGAGATCTGCCCTTTTCCATTCTAAGGCGGCCAAACCAAACATTCGATGATACGTAAATTAATTAATACATCAAAATAATAATATTTTCTTTGTTTCTCTGTAAACGCTTTACTTTTATAGTAAGAATTACTTACTCGCCGGCGCCAATGGATATATTGTCGTTGCTGCCTCGTATGAAGTACATGTTGTCACCGGTCCAGCCCCAGTACTTGAATTTTGTTTTCACGGGCGCTGCTTGGTCTGCTGTTAATTATAAATGATATAAGTAGAGGTAGGAGGTTCATAACATTAAGTGATAAAATCTGTTATTTTATCCACCTGACAATAAGTGGAGTGCTGTTTACTGGCGCTAGAAATAGCAGAAATATTTTTTTATAGGATAGGGTGACAAACGAGCACACAGTCCACTTGATGGTAAGTGGTTGCGATCCATATACATCTACTACATGTAGATGTCTTAATTAAGAACCAAAATGCAGATGCATCGTCACCCGTGAGGACTAAGATAGAATGCATCTTTTCTTTTCCTTTTCCTTCATAAATGTACATTTCTTGCTTAAGGTTCTCTACAGACCAAAATAAAGGCAGAAACGGAGCCTTATCATCTGGTAAAGACATCCAAAAATGTGTAATTAAGGGTCTTAAAGATATAAGCTTAGTCTATGGATAAGGTTAACTATCCACTTTGTTTTTAGTGACCCAATCACAGATGTAAAGTTGCACTGCACCTCGGTCAAAAAGAATACAGTGCACATGCATATTATTATATATTTATACTCAGACCAACAAGAAAATATAAACATATCTACATACATTTCAAGTGACGTTAAACCAAGCAAAAACAGTGTTTAATTTATTGTAAGAATACGTACTCACGCATATGCATCTAACATGTAAATTCGTTTGCAACCAAAAACCAAATGGTTTTAGGTTAGGTGCATATGTGTGCGTCCAGCAGAGACTTTTTACGGGTTGATAAATAAAGAGAGATATGTGTGTGTGTGTTCGTGTGTGTGTGATTGTATATCAAGAAGTGGGGCCTGGTTTTGGCGTCAGTAGAAATGTATGTAGTGTACCGTCAATCTTACTTTGTTGGTCCGATGTTATATTTTGATTGTTAAGGATTCATGTTCTCCGAGTTTATAAGGGTTCTCAATTTTTTTCGTGGTAAAGCCACACTGCAGTTATATTATGGTTGTAGCACGAGTGGGTCGACTCGATCGGGGAAAGACCACGCTTTCACAGAATAACAGAAATAAAATAGCATTAAGCTGCTATGTTTTGCATGCTGAGTGTAAAAAACCAAAGATATCTTTTAATGGATACGAGGAGTTCACTCTTGTGTGTATTCATTGTGCTCAGGGGTATGTAGATTTCTATTGGTCACAACATCCACTATCACCAGATGGACTGTATGCTCGTTTGTCAACCTTATTGAAACAAATCTGTGACACAATAGGCGAGAATGTTGCGTTGTGTTAGGACGTATTAGATTATAAGTAGGTAAAAACCTATCTGTGCGGTGTGCGGTGCTCTAATCCAAAGTCCCGAAACCTTTCAGCTCGAGTTACAAAACGGTTTTCAGTGCCTAGAAGACTGCAATGAAGTGGAGGATATGAATGACAAGCTCGTGGAAACTGTCCATGCGGTCGGAGCTAAGTTCCGCAAGACCCGCCGCAGAAGAACACAAAAACTCTCCGATCACACTCTTAATCTCATGGGTGTTAGACGGGAGATGAAGCTACATTCTTCAACAGATTTGACAACATACAGGCTACTGAACAGACAGATCTCCAAATGCATGCGGCGGGACTTACGCAACTTCAATACAGCTCGTATTGAAGAAGCGATCGAGCGGAACCAAGGCTCCAAAGTCTTTGCCAGAGATCTGTCTGCCAGAAAGAGCCAACTGTCAAAGCTGAAGACACAATGTGGCAGCATCGTTTCCGGGGCACCTGAGATTTTGAGTGAGATTGAGAGGTTCTATGGGCAGCTGTACACGTCATCGTTGGAGCCACACGCGAGTGTGAGTAACGATCCAAGAGCGAGTCTTATCCGACATTATTCCGATGATATCCCGGACGTCAGTCTGAGCGAGATTAGAATGGCTCTCCAGCACATTAAAACGGCAAGGCCCCAGGCGAGGATGGAATTACAGCGGAGCTTCTGAAAGCTGGTGGAAAACCGGTACTTGAAGTCCTTCAGAAGTTCTTTAATTCCGTCCTCCATGGTGGCATTACACCGGAGGCGTGGAGCAGAAGTGCGGTGGTCTTGTTCTTCAAGAAAGGCGACAACGCTCTCTTGAAGAACCACAGACCGATTTCCCTTCTGAGCCGCGTCTACGTGCTGTTTTCGAGAGTCATTACGAATCGTCTCGCGCGCAGACTTGACGACTTCCAGCCTCCCGAACAAGCCGGTTTCCGAAAAGGCTTTAGCATCATTAACCACATACATACCCTTCGGCAAATTGTACAAAAGTCAGAGGAGTACAATTTGCCACTATGTCTGGCGTATGTGGACTATGAGAAAGCCTTTGATTCCGTCGAAATTTGTGCGGTGCTGCAGTCCCTTCAGCGGTGCCAAGTGGACTGTCGGTATATCGAAGTGCTGAAGTGCTTGTACAGTAGGGCTACGATGGCTATCGGAGTACAGAACCGGAGTACGAAACCTATCCAATTGCAGAGAGGTGTAAGACAGGGTGACGTCATATCCCCGCAACTTCGAAGACGTTTTCAAGCTTCTGGACTGGAACGGATACGGTATCAACGTCAATTGCGAGTAAATCACTCACCTTCGATTTGCCGACGATATAATCCTTATGGCAGAATCGCTGGAGGACCTAAGCACTATGCTCAATGACCTCAATAGTGCTTCCCAGCGGATAGGTCTTAAGATGAACATGGACAAGTCACACCTATGCCGGTAGTTGTTGGGAGCACTAAGCTCGAAGTTGTTGACGAGTATGTTTACCTGGGACAAATAGTCCGACTACGTAAGTCCAACTTCGACCGAGAGGTCAATCGACGGATTCAACTCGGTTGGGCGGCGTTCGGGAAATTACGGCACATCTTCTCGTCAGGTATACATCAAAACTTGAAAACGAGACTTGTACAATCAGTGCGTGTTGCCTTTGATGACATACGGAACTGAGACGTGGTCCTTCACTGCTGGCCGGATGAGGAAGCTCAAGGTCGCTCAGCGAGCTATGGAAAGGGCTATGCTCGGAGTCTATGGATGCAGGTGGCTCAGGACCGTGCCTTTTGGCATTCCCTGGGGGAGGCCTATGTTCAGCAGTGGACTTGTGAAGGGCTGTAATGATGATGATGAATGATGAGGTAAAAACCCTCTCAGAAGAGAGATGAGGCCTGTGCCCAGCAGTAGGACGTATATAGGCTGTAACTTTACTTTTAGATTATAGGCAGCGTGGGCATAGATTATTTGTTCTAGAAATATGTATACGGTGTGTGTTTCTGTATCTCTGGTATTGTATTTGATAAGGATCAAACTTCTAAGTTATGTGACGCATAAGCGCATTACATTATGTAAATAATTAAAAATTAAAAATTATGTACAGCCGACTTCAATATAAGTTGTTAAGAATAACTCAAAAACTTTTGGTCTGACCTTGATCAAATTCATATGGGACCACAGGAGAAGTACCAGCTTTCAAATAAAAAAGAATTATCGAAATCGGTTCAACCAGTAAAAAGTTATGAGGTAACACACACATAAAAAAAAAACATACAGTCGAATTGAGTACCGTCTCGTTTTTGGAAGTCGGCAGAAAAGGTAATGTCGAGCGTCTATGTCAAGTGAAAACAGCCGCAGATAGCCGTAGTTCAGATATAATGGTAACTTACCATCCTTTTCATCCTTTTCGTCCTTTTTCTCTTCTTCCTTCGTATCGTCCTTGTCTTTACTGTCGTCAGTTGCGGGTTGTGAATGCCGCCTGGCGTCTTCCCTCACGCGTTGGAATGAAAACAGTAACGACTCGCCCGTGCCATAGAAGTGCTCGGAAGGCCGAAGAGCGCATGATGTTAAGGCTCCGAATACCTGTTCGTCAAAGTAAACAAAGTCAAATTAATAAAGGTCACAGCAGGGAGTTATCAATTAGTTTAACAGATGTACGGTAAAATCCTTCGCTTTAGATATATATATATATATATATATATATTGTACTACTTGGCACAGACGTTTAATTTATGAGAGGCGTTTTAAGGAAGGAAAGCGTCCTACGCGCTGCTCCAATGAGTGTTGACGGACTTCAGATATATTTTTTTAATTTCTAAGACATGCAGGTTTCTCACGATACTTGGTAGTAGAGCCACTATGCCGATATATTATGGTTGCAGCAAAAATGGGTCGAAACCATGTGCTCACAGAATACGTAAATTAGTAACATAATGCTGTTGTATTTAGTATAGCAAGTGTAGTGACCGACTTTACTGGCAACGAGGCATCACGTCCTTGTGCTCAGGATTTTGACTTTCCATCAGTGATAGATGTAGCTAGTCTATAAGATTTGAATGGACATAGTAATCGTTTTTCATCTTACTTTTAACTATAAAAAAAGTTTTTCTGCATCTCCGAGTACGTAACAGTGAGTTAAGAGCGTTTCGCTTGCGTGTGTTGAAATAAGTGTGAGAACTTAACCAATGACAATCAACGTTCTTGAACCCACAAAATAGTAACAGCTATATCTCGAGCTGGAGAATTTACCGTAATAGTCACTTAACAAGAGTGAAGGAAGAAGACTTCTCGTAGAGCACTGCCTACGTCCTCGCTTTAAGAAGCGAAGTCTTGTAAGAGATATAAATACATACATCCTTACTCAGATAAGCCCTTAGAGAGTCCGAAGTCTTGACACCAGCCTGTTTTAGATATATTTAGTGAAAAATCAGCAAATACCATAGGTACTACAACTAAAATACTATTTTAAATATGACAGATATGATAATTTCACTGTATGATATTGAACTCTTAGTTCATTCATTCATTTTTACTACAGCCTATCAAAGTCCACTGCTGAACGCAGGTCTCTCTATACACACACTCTATAGAGGGGGTTATTTGCTATAGTTGCCCCGCTTGATAATCGGGTTGGAAACAGTAATTTTTATATTATTGTTATTAGGAAGACACTGCTGCACACCTCCTGTTTTGTTTCCCTCTGTCGCCTCTTACGAAACCCATGGTATTGTGGTGTCTATTCTTACACTGTCACCATACGAATAATTTCTCAAATAAATCATGCGACTGAAAGCTCCTACACGACAAGAAGCAAGTGGATTTTTCTTAGCCCGGTATTCAGACATAATATTTTGAGATGAAACTCGAACTTCATAATTTCAAAATTTGTATAAATAATTATAGTACCTACAGCTTAGACTTAAATTTTTACGTTATGGCGCTTAAATTTATACTCGAGATTGTCTCTGAATACCGGTCACTAACAATTTGAGATCAACCCCGTTTTTCAAACGACTTCAAAAAAAGGAAGAGGGTTCTCAATTCGACTGTACTTTTTTTATGTGTTACCTCAGAACTTTTTCAAGGTGAACCGGTTTTGATGATTTTTATTTTATTTGAAAGCTGGTGCTTCGCATGTGGTCCCATATAAATTTAATGAAGATCTGACTCTGTTTTTTAGTTATCATTAATAATGTGTATTTATTTGACTTCAACTACATTGATGTTCTCATTTTATTTATATTGAAGTCGGTTGTACAAATTTTGTAATTTTACCACTTGTTCAATCTGGTTTTCTCCCCACCCCACGTTTAAACCCACGAAGCGAAAAAATGTTAAAGCAACAATTGTTTAAAATCAGCTAATAGCTACTTATTATATTTTGAGCCTCACCACTGAACTTAAGAAAATTGAGTGGACTGAGGTTACGAAAATACACTTTTATTTTTGTTTCTACTTAAATTGTATTTGTAATTATAAGCATTTCAATGTTTATATCAGGTTCCTTTCATTTTTTCGAAGAGGACATCGGAACATAAGAAAAAAAAATCCGAAACAAGTATGACAAGCGGCATGGATTACGAGCGCCAACCTTCACTAGTGCAGAAAACGTTTTTAAGTCTAGACGCAGACGTAAACTAAACCAAACTTGATTGATTTGCTGTTGGCGCAAGCACCATAATTATTCGTTATATTATATATATACTAAAATAAAGTTACAGCACATACACGTCCCACTACTGGGCATAAGCCTCCTCTCACTTCTGAGAGGGTTTTAGTGACAAGGAAGGGTCCGCCGCGCTGCCCCCAATGCGTTTGGCGGACTTCAGATGTATTCGAATTTTTTTTTAAATTCTTTTTCAGACATGCAGGTTTCCTCACGATGTTTCCTTCACCGCCGATCACGTGGCAAATCAGAACTTAAAATTGCAATTACTATATAATATACTATAGAATTGTGAAATTGGTCACAACAATAAATCTGCGTCAACTAAATTCACCGTATTACGTTTAAGCTTCTTTAGTTACTTTTAAAAACTTACATAACTTATGACAGCGATTGATAGATGAAGTTACCACCTATTGCTGTATTGCTGAGTAGAACCAGTAATAATAATAGCATCTCATGTCATCTGTAGGCTGTAGCCTTCTTTGTTTAAAGTTGCAATATAGCATCAGCTGGATTGTAAGTTGGTGTATCATTTAGTTAATATTGTACACATATTCAGGTCACATACATACGGTGAATTATGCATTCAGAGCCACTTCGTTTGAGCACTGTAAAGTTTGCGACAATGTTTAAAGAACACAGGGACATTGAACAAGTTCACAAACGAAAGTTAAATATTTTAATGCATGCAGAAGCAAAGGAATATTTTGAAACGAATAAATAAAAAAACGCGATTAATTAATATATTATTATAATATATTAATTATTATCGGTTCTCGAGTGGCAGCCTCGTACCGGTAGGCGAAGTGTAGGGCGTCCCCCCACGAGATGGAGTGACGACCTGGTAAGACATGCAGGAAGTCGATGGATGCAGGTGGCTCAGGACCGTGTTTTGTGGCATTCTTTGGGGGAGGCCTATGTTCAGCAGTGGACTTGTGAAGGGCTGTAATGATGATGATGATATTATAATATTGTTAGGCAAGATGACGTTGTGACAAGGATTAAGAAAGGAATGCTTCGGTGGTTTGGTCATGTAGAAAGAATGAACGAGGAAAGAGTGACAAAGCAAATTTATGCTGCAGAAGTGAACGGCAGGGTCGGGAAGGGACGCCCTAGACGAAGGTTTATCGATCAAATCGGCGATACATTAAAAATGGGCCAGATTAGGAGTACCCTTAACCGACGAGCGTGTATGCGTAGATATATGGATGTAAAAGAGGCGAGAGAGGTGTGTCAGGATCGCGCCAAATGGAAGTCCGTAGTCTCTGCCTACCCCTCTGGGTGACAGGCGTCAGTGTTTATGTATGTATGTATTGTTAGGTATATATAAACAAAATAAATTAAAATACATTACTGATAAAATCACCTTTTAGTGATTGAGATTTTAATAAATATAATTAAAAATTAAAAATTTTGTAAATTATTAAGAATAACTCAAAAACTATTGGTCAGACCTTAATCAAATTTATATGGGACCACATGTGAAGCACCAGTTTTAAATAAATATGAATCATCGAAATCGGTTCACCCAGTAAAAAGTTATGAGGTAACACATAAAAAAACATGCAGTCGAATTGAGTACCGTCTCCTTTTTGAAGTCTGTAGATAACGTGAACGCGATTAAATCTATAATATTATTGATAGATATACCTACTCGTATATAACATTATTATAATTTCTCCGATTGAAGAACATTGTACTTAGCACCACTGAAATAAAATAAGTATATTTAGTTTGTTCATATTAATTCGTTTTTTTTTGAAATAGCAAATCAGAGAGAAATATCATAAAATTCGCCGAAACAGCCTGTAACACATTGCAGGCGGTTTTTTTTTCTGCTTTTATACCTTCCAGAAATCTTTGACTTGTTTCTTTGTAATTTTAATTGCTTTAATGTTCATTCAAATGGAGCTTTTATTTAGTACACAGTGTTTTAACTAATATCATCTCTACTTAAACCTGCTAAGGTTTAGGTTTGGTTTGGACTTTTTTATAACATATAAACTACGTAGCGATTACGTCACCGGCAGGTTTTGGAACTGCATCACTTTTAGAAATTTAAAATAATCGTGCAAAAACGACCGTCAAACATTTTGAAAGAGCAAAGAATATTCAATTTAGTTTCATTAAATTAATGACTTACAGGAAATTTGCAGTTTTATTCGCGACTCAGCAAAACTGTTTTTTTTTTAATTTCTTTTCCATTTATTAATAGTAGTATAATTTAGTGAATAGTATTCAACTGTATTCTAATATTTTGGTATGTTATGGTTTATGTCGTTTAAATTGTCAAAGCTTTGTACAAGGGGGACGTGCTTTTGCAAGCAATTTTTATTTAACTGTCCGCTACTTATGTTTCTGTTGTCTTTCTTATCTTTATTTCGTGCTATAGTTACGATTTGTTTGTATAGATTTGTTGATATGGATTCGCTATTTAATAAATTCAGGTCTACTCTTTATTAAGAAATCGATATTACTATAGTCTCTGCTGATACATCTATCTAGAAAATGTAAACAATGTTTAGAACTAAATAATTGTATGGCGTTATTCCGCTAGGTAGGTAATTGGCATACTTAATGACATTTTAACGAATATGATAGTGAGTCAAATTATTTGTATTTTATATAAATAAATGGTAATAAAATCTTATCTCGGTTGGCTTTGTTGTGTCGTTTGGTTTTGTTGTATTGTATTATTTTATCAGCATCGATTATAAGTCGATGATTTTTTTTATGAACTTATTTTAGGTTGAAAAATATTATCATGATGAAAAAACAACGCAATTTCGGAGTGTTCCCCACCAGAGTTATATGATCGCACTGCAGATCTACAAACGAAATGTTGTTAAAGTGATATTAATGTTCGAACTAGTCATTATAAATGTGTGAAGTCGTTAAAAGTTACTCCTTGGGTAGATCAACAGAGAACTTAATTTTTTTTACAGCCAACTTACAATAACACCGCATAATTATTATATATTTTTACAGCTAATATAGCAAGGCTTGCTTGTGTAAAAGTTCGATTTCGTCTTTGGTTAGTAGCCTTTGAAATGTGAAAAGTGAAAAGCAGCATTTTCGGCACATTTTACTTTTTTACTATTAAAAACGTAAAAATGCTGTTCAAGCAAGAAAAAATTATCCGATGATATGGTAGACAGTAGCAAAACTGGTTTGTAAAATTTCGATTCGGCAATTTTGATGTTCAAAATGTACCACGTCCTGGAAGGCCAGTTGAAGCTGATGAAGACATAGAGACAACTCGTGTGATAGCGTTATCGAGAATTGATTTATCGAATTCGACCGTTTATGATCATTGAAACGCCTAGGTTTAATCTAAAAGCTCGATATGTGGGTTCCGTAAGAACGGAAAGAATTTTGTGCCGTCGCGGAAACTATCCATTTTTGAAGCACATCACCATACGCGACATAGTCTTCATTGTCTTCAACAATGTTAAATGCAAGAGATCATGGAGTAAAAAAGATGAACCGGCTCAAATCACTTCGAATTCCGATGTTCATCAAAAAAGGTGATGCTAACTGTTTGGTGGTGCTTGCTTGCTTATTTTTTTTTGAGCAGGTAGAACCTGACAATAAACGTCAATGCAAAATCAATTCTGAATTGTACTGTCGTCATCGGCTGGACAAATTTAATGATTCACTTAAACAGAAAACGCCAGAATTGATCAATAGAAAAGGTGTAGTGTTCGACCAAGATAATGCGAACCCTCATACAAGTTAGCTAACTCGCCAAAAGCTATTGCAGCTAACAGCTTGAATGGAATATACTGCCACATACACTATATCATCTGGCACCTTCTGATTATTTTATTCCGGTTTCTACAAAATTTTCTAGACCTTCAAAAATTGCCTGGATCATTTTTTTGTCAGCAAAGAATAAAAATTCTATGAGCAGGGAATCATGCTATTGCCAGAAAGATGGCAAAAGATAGAGACCAGAAATAGTAACAGTGTAGTGTTCCACCAAGATAATGTGAGACCTCATACAAGATTGCTAACTCGCCAAAAGCTATTACAGCTTGGACAGGATATACCGCTACACCCATTATAAGTATTGTCTGGCCCTTTGTCATTATTTTATCCCGGCCTCTACAAAATTTTCTAGACCACTTCAAATGAGATGGTCAAAAATCACTTGGATCTGTTTTTGGCAGCAAAGAACAAAAATTCTATGAGCGCGGAATCATGCTATTGCCATGTGTGTAATAAATACTAATAGTAGGTCAACTCCTTTGTTATGCCGCAAATTAATTACACAAGGCTATCTCGACGTCAAGTCGCTAAAACTATGCAAGGGTTTACATAATGATTATTTAAAAATATGCAAGGGTTGTCACAAAACATTTCCTTAAATAATAATATCATCATAACATTATATTTTATCAGTATTCCTTGTAATAATATATTTTGGTAAACAAAGATACAAACTAATTACTACTTTACAAATCTAGTTGCGTTCCGCAGCTTCACCTGATTCGTCGTAATGGAAACAAAGGCATGTGCTGGTAGTTAACTACCTAATTTTATTATATTCTAATTATATAGCAGTATCTCAGGTATTACGCTTAAAATATTTGATAGGGGATTGAACAATAAATAAAACAGGTTAAAATCAAACAGAATCACTGTTTATTCAACCGCCCCGTTACAGATGTGCAACCGACAAATATTTACGACATTTATTATTGGTTTTTTATTTAATTGTCTTCTGTTGAATTAAAAATCGTGATGAAAGCAATGACATGGTTATTAGAATTCAATTTTACTTAAAGCGTCATTCAATAATTCCCAATATTTCAAAATAATGTCGAGTAATATCATGTTGCTGGGTGAACACCAAAAGCGTACAACTGATTCCGTGTACGTGACACTCCTAAACAGGCGTACCGGTACGCAAGCGAAGCCGAACGGTACTACCGCGGACGACGTGGGCAGGGGAGGAGGGAACTCCGCACTCGCTAATACCGTCCGCCATCGTTGCTCCGTCTATTCACCGAGTTAACTCACTATTAGTATTTATTACACATATGCTACTGCCAGAAAGATGGCATAAGATATTGGACAATATATAACTCAATAAAATATATTCACTATGAGAAAATCGTATTTAATTTTCAGAAAAAAACGAAGTTATTTTCCGAAAAACCCAAATAGTATGCACTATTTTTTTTAAGTATTGCTCATTCTGACTATACTGGGCAGGCGGGTTGGCGAGCATTGAACGCTTTCACACTGCTACTGCTTCTTTCAATTATCTCTCTATAGGTTTGGGTTCGGCATTTTCGAATAAATATTTCACCATTTACCTGTAAGGCTATTCGCCAAACAGCAGGGCGCACTGCATGTAGGAGAGATTGACTTAAGAAGAATTTACTTCTTCCCCTTTACACCCGAAAAAAAACTTAAGTGAGTATAACTCAAAGGGACTTACGTTCTTATCGGTGTCCTGTATGACGAGGAGTACGGGGCTGTCGACGTGCTGCATCTTGCGGTACATGGAAGCGAGCGAGAATCCGTGCTGGCTGGTGCTGAACGTCAACGACCACATGTAGCCCTGGGCGCGCGCCGGTAGCACGGTGCACAACTTCTCTCTGCGATAATATCGTTACTTCGTCATCAGTCTGTGATAGTCAATTGCTAAATATAAATAAACCGAGTTGATAGTAGTATCAGACCTAGGAGACGGCTGGTATATTGAACATAAAAACTATTCTAACGAATTCAATTTATGATAAACTGTATGCTATTTAGGTCCAATAAAAACGCAATTGTAACTACATTTTTAAAAAGTAACCCCAGCAATTCTTCCTGGTTGTTCTCTCTAGACGTTTGGTTTTGATTCGGTGATAGTTTCCTTTTTGACGTTCTTGCGATGACTCAGCATCATAAAGCTATAAATCTGGTATTGATCTGAATACTATAGTATGTTTCGAGGCGGTAAATCGTACCATCTGTCGGTTGCCGTAAATTTTACTTACGAAATACATGACACGAATACGAGTAGGTACCTAATAGATATTCTTATGCTGTTATCACACAGTGAGAATACAACCAACATAATATACCCATAAATTATCTAATGTTGAGCCGTATGACATCATTCTATGACACTTGTTTGCCTTCAATTAAAATTCAAAAATCTTTATATTTGTATATGTTTAACAAAAATATAGATTTATGTAAAATTATTGACCCACATAATAAAATAACATAAATACAAAACATTTCATAAACGTAACACTAGCAATTGTTTCTGTATCGTGGAGGCCTTTCACATACTTTTTTTTCATAGGAGAAGGGGCAAACGAGCATGCGGCTCACCTGATGGTAAGTGACTACCGCCGCCCATGAAGAACTGCAACACCAGTGGAATCGCAGATGCCTTGCCGGCCTTTTAAAAAGGAGTAGGCTCTTTTATTGAAGGTCCCTAAGTCGTATCAGTCCGGAAAAATCGCTGGTGGTAATCGATTCCACAAGGCAGTTGTGCGAGGAAGAAAACTTCTTTTAAATCGCACAGTGGTGGACCGCCAATCATTCAGATGGTATGGATGGTATCGCGAGTTTTGTCGCGATGTGCGATGGTGAAATTGGGCGGCTGGAATTAGTCCGAACAATTCCTCAGAGCACTCCCCGTGATAGAAGCGATAAAATACGCACAGAGATGCAACATCTCTACGCAGTGCCAATGAGTCAAGCCGATCGGAAAGAACTCGGACGTCGACGATTCTAACCGCTCTGCGCTGGATGCGGTCAAGTGGAAGGAGCTGGCACTGGGGAGCCTCTGCCCAGAGATGGGAACAGTATTCTATATGAGGCCGAACCTGCGCCTTGTAAAGTTGCAAGCGGTGTGCCGGCATGAAATACTGTCCCGCTTTGGTGAGCACGCCAAGCTTTTTAGAGGCCAATTTGGCCTTCTCTTCCAAGTGACCACGAAACTGCACGTCACTCGATATGTCGACACCAAGGATCCCGATACTGGCTGAGGCAACAAGGGGAGTGCCTTGAAACTGAGGAGATACGACAAAGTGGTTCTTTTTAGCGGTAAACGCGCAAACTTGTGTCTTCTGGGGATTGAATTGGACTAGATTTAGTCGACCGCAGTCTGAGACTTTGTTCAACAAAGTCTCGACTTCAGACACAAGTTTGTTCCGGTACTCGGCGACGTTTTCCCGAGAAATATTGGTACGGCCGGTGTATAAAGCATCACCAGTGCTGTCGTCCGCATAGCAATGAATGTTACTGGTTTGCAACATATCATTGATATGCAGAAGAAACAGCGTTGGTGATAGCACGCAGCCTTGTGGAACACCAGCGTTAATAGGCTTGTAGTCGGAGCATGCACCGTCTACAACGACCTTGGTGCTCCGATCTGCAAGAAAGCTGATGATCCAATTATATAATTTCTCGGGAAGCCCATAGGAAGGGAGCTTCGAAAGAAGCGCTTTGTGCCCAACCCGATCGAAGGCCTTCGCTATGTCCAAACCAACAGCCAACGCCTCCCCCTTGGACTACACTGCCTCCGCCCATCTATGAGTTAGGTAACCTAAAAGATCACCAGCCGAGCGACCTCGACGGAAACCGTACTGGCGGTCCTAATCAGCTGGTGATCCTCAAGGTACCGCATGAGCTGGATGTTAATAATGGTTTCCATTACTTTTGAGAACAAGGAGGTGATAGCAATAGGCCTGTAGTTGGACGGATCTGAGCGGTCGCCTTTTTTAGGGATCGGGTGCACCGAAGCTGTCTTCCATGAGTTCGGGACTACGCCAATGGAGTAGGAGTACCGGAAAAGACGCGTTAAAACCGGTGTCAACTCCGGAGCACAAGTCTTCAGCACAATAGGTGGGACTCCATCTCTTGTTCACGTCCAGGAAAGAGGAGTGCTTTACGCACCAAGCGCTGTGTAAACAGCACTTCCTGCATGGAGCACTCACACCGCGGGATGGTCGGCGGTGTGTTCCCCCCGTCATCTAGAATCGAGTTGGAAGCAAAAAGAGAGCCAAGCAGATCGGCTTTCTCTTCTGCGTCATGGGCCAGTGAGTCGTCCGCCCTGTGCAGAGATGGCAGAGATGGCTGACAGAAGTTCCCTTGGACAGCCTTGGCGAGAGACCAGAATGCACGTGTTCCCGAAGGGAGGCGAACTAGTTTCTCGCCAATTCTGCCGATGTGCTCTGACTTTGCCTTGGCAATGACACTTTTGAAGGACCTGGAGGCGGAATTATACTTCGTTTTAAGAGCGCTGGTATTTACATCCCGGCACGTTGATGCGTCGGCCCAGGTTCGGTAGTGCTCCTGTTTATAGCGTGATGTAATTTTGCAGGAGTGTCCAAACCATGGCTGATTTCTGCCTCCGATAGGCACCACAGATGATGGAATAAATAATTCCATTCCCTGAAGTACCACATCAGCGACAGAATCAGGAACAACGTTGGGATCATCCGGCGCGAAGCAAACCCGCCCCCAAGGGTAGGATGCAAAAAAAGACCGCATCCCGTCCCAATCGGCCGGCCTATAGTGCCAAACACGGCGGCAAGCTGCAGATCGCAATTGCGATTGGAGCGTGAGATACCCCATTGCACATGGAGAAACGTCAAGATCTGGAACAATTACTTGTATCTAGTCCGCACGGCGTCAATAATAAATGCTTGGCTTAGCCACTGCAAAACAGAGCTATTTGATGATCAATCAATGGATATAAAAATCAATAGATATGAAATTTTTGTTAATTAGACGTAACTTTCTTATTTTAATGTAGGTACGTAAACATCACATCACCCAGTTTGGTAAACTGATTTAGATAATTTATTTTATATTTTAAAGAGTAGGTTCACTTTAATAGATTTGGTCAAAATTTATTTTTAAAATTTAAAAAATATATTTTTAAAATTTAAAAAAATATATTTTTAAAATTTGACAGACCACACATATTATGTATGAAAATTACTCCACAAATCCTAGCAGAAAAATACAGTACTAAAAATACAAAAAAATACTAAAAGTTAGCCGTGTAGTCGCGGTGTAAGATACCCACTAGCCTATATCGTCCCGTGGGTGTCGTAAGAAGTGACAGAAACAGAAACTAAAACAGGGGATGGTATCAGCATCTTCCTGATAACAGCTGAATATAATATAAAATTAAAAATTTTGTACAACCGACTTCAATATAAATTATTAAGAATAACTATTAAAGTGTGATATGACAAAATTTTAAATCAGTTTTAGTACATATTTGATCGCGCGTTTGTTTCGTCAGGCGATAAACTTTAGCGCGCATCTAGCGGTTTCTTACCGGCCAGTTGGATAGAAGTATATGTGTTTGCGTTCTTCTGAACTTCTGATGCGTCCAAAATAAGCCAAAAATACTGTGTGGGGCAATTTGTACGGTAAACATTTAAGATCACATCCTTAAAAACGCGCTTCAATCAAAGGCAATATTTTTTCTGAAACGATGTTGTTTTAGATTTCATCAAATTTGGCGGGAAATTAACAGCTTTATTTTAAAGGTTTAGTCTAAGGCTACGCGCACATGGAGCCCAAAATGATCTGGCTAAACTATCGGCCAGCTTCAATAGTATTTTTATGAATATTTTTTTATGTATACGCTGATAAAATCGGCCGGTAAGAAATAACATCTTCCGCGAACATGCATCATCTTTTTTTTTTATAATAGGATAGGGTAACAAACGAGAACACAGTGCACCTGATGGTAAGTGGTTACTGTGACCCATAGACATCTATATTTATCCTCAATGAAGAATCAAAATGCAGATGCGTCGTCACCCGTGAGGACTAAGATGGAATGCCTCTTTTCCAGTAAAATGGGTCTCCGGTTCTCTACACTCACCATACGAAACACAGTAGTGGTTGAGCTGAGCCATTCGTGCTACAACTATACTACTAATATATGTAGCCGCAGCATTCTTCTTTGTTTGCAGTTAGCCATAGGCGTCCATGGACTGCAATAGCCACCTACCATCAGTTGAACTAAGTCACTTCAGTTTTATAAAAAAAATATATATATATATATATATATATATATATATATATATATATATATATATATATATATATATATATATTGCAGTATCAAAACATCGTAAACGTAATCGGACAGAAAATATCTTTATGATTATAGATGGCTTAAGTTTATATTTTATTAACAATTAAAAAGTATACATAGATAATATATAAAATTAGTATAATCTTTCTGCCATTTCTCATAACTCTCTTTGTGACATCCATGTGACTAAATGGGGTAAAGTAAAGGATTCTGCCTGCTGCATTCTTACGCCGCAACCATATACAGCAACATTCTCAAACTACTCATGTCAAATTAATATAACAAGTCTACGAGATACGATCAGAGGTAGACTAGGTGGCAGTATCAAAGACACGGCGACAATGATATAACAAGCAGACCCAAAAAATTACAACTTTCGTTATAACAAACATACTATGCCTCAAATTCAATCCGCAATCGATACGTATTATCTGCCTTCCCGTTTTGAAATGATGTATTATAATATTTATTCAAAACGTGAGTAAAACAACAATAAGATCTTTTAGTTTCAAAGAAATATCGTATAATGGTAATGGAACAAAAGGAAGTGTTATTTATAAATGGTGAATGATAGAATCACAAATCATATCAACAGCTACTTTTGAGTCCACTGTACATACACAGCCTTCCCGACAATGGGACTAGCTGGCAAGTATTACTTACTCGTAAGAGTATTGGACAATACTCACTACGCTGATCTGGCGGGTTGGTGAGTGCACAGTCAATACTATCGCATTCGCACCAATAAGGTTGCTACTATTATTATCGGACTATTGGATTCGATTGGATAATTACACGATAGGCCACACAGAAAGTTTTGCGATAAAAGTTTTTTTTTTTTATGAGAAACTTACCTGATAATCTTTATATATAAAAATTACGTGTCACATTGTTTGTCCGCGATGAATTCCTAAACAACTGGACTGATTGCAATGAAATGTTTCACAATGTGTGCAGTTTGGTCTAACTTGAGAGATAGGATAGTTTTTATCCGGATAAGTGACCCTCAACTTTTTTATTGTGAATTTAATGATTTTTTTAGGAATCATTGTCGTCGGAAAGTTCAGAACAACGTCTGCCTGTTCAGCTAGTATTATATATTTTGAAAATACAATTAATAATACAAATGTTCCAATATCTTGTACGTGGTAGAGCCATGCTGCAGTTATATTAGTAGTATAGTTGTAGCACGCATGGGTCGGCTCGACCGGGGAAGGACCACGCTCTCACAGATTACCAGCGTAAAATAGCAGCTTAATGCTGTTGTGTTTCGTATGGTGAGTGTAGAGAACCGGAGATCCTTTTTACTGGAAACGAGGCATTCCATCTTAGTCCTCACGGGTGACAACGCATTTGAATTTTGAGTCTTTATTAAGGATAGATGTAGATGTCTATGGGTCACAGTAACCACTTACCATCAGGTGGACTGTGTGCTCGTTTGTCACCCTATCCTATAAAAAAAAATCAAATTTGCATCCACATGTTTTACAAGTAGGGATGCCCGATTTTTTATTTTGAATCGATCTTCTGGATCGTAATGGATCGTAACCTCGTGAATCGATTCACGATTTAATCGTATTGTATTGAATCTATCTTATTCTATCTCGGAAAATCGTATCGTAATTTTCTAAAAATAAAGAAAAGCACAGTGTGCATGCATAATTATTTATTTTAACAATGCCTATTACGGTATCCAGTGAGTTTTTCAAAAAAATTATTTTTGTAAAGTATAAAACAGGTTTTACATTATGAAATCAAGCTATGTACATTAATTTTTTTTTAAATAAAAGCAGCGTTAGTTATTTCCTGTAACATGGGTTATCTGCCAGTGAAATTCCCGCCAAAATCATCCCATCCGTTTCTGAGATTAGCCGGAACAAACAGACAGACAGACAGACAGACAGACGAACCGACAGACAGACATAATTTTTTTTAATTTATTTTTTGTTATTAGTACCGTATATACTTTGATATGTATTCAGTAAAAAACTGTTATTTTGACATTACAAACAGACACTTCAATTTTATTTGTTTGTATAGAAGATAGAATCTTACAATTTGGGCTATTGCTGTAGTTGAACTTTCTTCACTTTTGCTTAGCTCAGAATAAGTGCCTATGTGATGACTCTTGAAATGATATTTTAAATTGGTAGTATTTCTACTATTTTTAACCATCTGTTTACACATTTTACATTGTCCACCCATGTCACATTTAATTATAATTTAAAATTAAAAATATTGTACAGCAGACTTCAATATAAGTTATTACGAATAACTCAAAAACTATTGGTCTGACCTTGATCAAATTCATATGGGACCACACGAGAAGTATCAACTTTCAAATAAAAAAAGAATCATCGAAATCGGTTCACCCAGTAAAAAGTTATGAGGTAACACACATAAAAAAACATACAGTCGAATTGAGTACCTTTTTGGAAGTCGGCAGAAAAGAAAGCCCAAGCGTTTGATTTGGTTGGCGTGGCCATATTAAAAAGTATTTTAAAGTAATAGTTTAAAATACTTTTTACAGAACATTTCAACTTTTCTTTAGGATGTTACTGTTTGGTTGATGTTTAGGTTTTAGTTGATACTTTTTTTTCACACAATCTTATAGCCATACGAATCGATCTGGGTGAAGAACGCATCCCCTTGAATCGATTCAAAAATCGGTAGATCGTATGGCCGTGAATCGATATTCCAGAAAATAGATTCATATTGGGCATCCCTATTTACGAGCTAAATTGAAAAATTGTGGCGTATACAATGTTATTTATATACAACACGATTTTAATTATTTTTAAAATTATACGACAATTTTATACAATTTTGAACGTCGCCCAAAACCGGACGAATCGTATGATACATTTCAAATAGGATTTATGGATAAATACCCTTGTAAGACAATCGTGAACCACTTGTATAAAAGATTTGAGCATGGTCGACTAATTTTGAGAGTGGAGAAAAAAAGGTGGCGCCCTTTGACGTCTGTTACGAAAGGCAACGTGCTAGCATAGAAAAATGTAATTGAAGAGAATAGGCGAATTACGTATAATGAGATTCAGCACATATTGTAGATAAGATCCGCAAGCGTTCACGAGATTTTACACGAACAACTTTGCGTGAGGGGCATAGTTATGTGTCGCGCAACCTCCGTGTCAGTGCCGTGATATGATGATGACTTAATATGAAGCAGATTCGTCTCGGCGTATTTACGACATCAGATTTATCAACACGATCCAGAAACGAAACGTCAGTCAACGGTTTGGCTATTTCCAAATGAACCAACGTCTATGAAAGTGAAGCGATCGAGAAGAGCAAGGATTGATTGTCAGTTTTTTCACATTGACGGGGTACGAGGGTGACACTGAAAGTTAGAAATCAAAAACGGAATAAACTAGCAAGTTATTAGTTTTATTATATCTTTTCGAAATAGTGTCCACTTACATCTATACATCGCTGCATCCGATGGAACCACTGAGAAAATCACTTTGCCCACTCGTCCTTAGGGTCTCTTCGAAGATTTCAGCAGACTGTGTTAGTTTCAGGATCATAACAATAAATCCAGCTGTCGTCACCCGTAAGTATATCGAACACAGCATTTTAGTCACCTCCGTTAAATCTTTGAACCATTTCACGACACCAATCAACATGACGGAGTTTTTGGGCCTATGTCAAATTATGAGGTATCGAATAGGCACAAAGCTTCCTGACCACTAAATGTTCATGGCGGATTTTGTGCACTTGACTCATACCGATGCCTAAGCTTGTCCGAATCTGCTGATAAGTCACTCTTTTGTCAGTCTCTATCATACGCCGCACAACACTGATGTTATCTTCAGTCGTCGCCGTAGAAGGCCGTCCCTCACGCAGTTCATCGGTGAGATTACTACGACCACGTTTAAACTCATTAAACCAGTTGTATAGAAGATAGATTCTTACCAACAGTGGCACGAGATAGAGCTTCATCGTGATCGAAGTCTGTCATAACTTTCTTGTTGACTTAAATGGCATCGAAAGTCATAAAAAATCACTGTACGAAAATTTTCTCGCGTTAAATTCATGCTGACATGATACAGACAATTTTCAATTTGCCGCCAAATCGTAAACAAATGACAAATTAATAAAATACATACACAATAATATTGGCAAAGAGTTCCATTTTCAAAATTTTAATTTATTTTTTTATTATATCGTTTACAAGTGGCCAATTCTAAAAACTTTCAGTGTCGCCCTCGTATCTAGTGTTCCTTTATGAAATCGAAATAACAGCCATGTCTAACGTATGCTTGCATGAATATTGTAAGCAAAAACCGACCGAACACGATGTTTCCCGGGCTACAGTACCACCATAAAAATCAGCAGGCGCACACTTATCGCTCAAGACGAGGGATTTCCTGGACCCTTATTTGGCACAGTGTAAATTATTTTATTCCATAAAATAAAATAATAAATTAGTTAAAAGGCATACAGTATCCATCGATGGAAGATGCGCTAGCAGCGTTCGAGCAGGCATTTTGTTTGGAAAATAGATTCAAACTTTGTAGAGATACTAGTGGAAAGTTATTTAAAAGAAGTTAATAATAAGAACTTTAACTATAAAACTTTTTTTGCTTTCGCAAAACTTTTTTGGTTGCCCACATATATTTATTATTTAATCATTTAAAAACGAACATAGGATACAGAGAGAATCTGTAGAGAAAAATTAAATAAATCTATTAGAGCTATAAACATAAAGTGACTAAAGAACAAGTTACAGTTTCTAACTGACCGATTATTGTATGCCATTGAATGGAATTTAAAATATTGGTAAATAAATGCTTTACATTTTTGTACATAATTCCATTTCCCCAAACATGATCTATTCGAGATCGAAAAGTAAATATAGAACAGTAATACGAATGTAATTTATTTTATACTGAAATAAAAATGAGCCATACTATACAATATTTGGTACAATACCTGTGTTCCATAGTGAATATCTCCGAAGTGCCGATGAGGTCTGGTGGCGAAAACTCCATGTCGACGGATGCGCCCGACGAGTACAATGCGCGCCGCAGCTCATCGCTCATCGACAACACCTACGTACACAGCCATATTTCTTTACATTTTACTTTTTAACAAAATGCAGACCACCAGAAACAGTCAGTCTCAACATAAATTTGCATAATTTTATAGCGGTATGCCTAGAATCGCGGTTAACATTTGGCGATTAGTTTTTTATGGAACACGGCTAGTGTTCATAACATAAATATTTTAAAATGTTCTCTATTATGTAAATGTTTGTTAATAATTGATGAATCCCAGAGTATATTGAAACTGGCTGTTTAGTTTAAAAAATATTATTATTAACCTAATAAAATGTAGAAATAAGGAATATTTTCATTTATAAAATATTAGTTCAGTAGTCATTGTGCAATATCATGCTTAGACGAAACATAATGAATGTGAACACAAAAATGAATCATGTACTGAAATCACTTAGTTAATAACTAAATAATGAAATGGGGCGTCGACAAGATGCAATGAAATGATGCATTCCCGATCACTACAGTTCACAGTTCATATCCACATTGAAAGGCGTGCTTTGTGCACTAATAAACTAATTACAAAGTAGATCAGCCGCCATGAATAAGTTTAGCGTATAAAACTAGCCACTTGATAAAATCTAATTTGGCGTGATTGTATAAATTTGTTGTAAATGCCATGTGGAAAAGCTACATACAAAATAAGTAAGTACCTACAGAAAGAGGCTTCCATGTTTTTTCATTTTAAAGCGACCTCGCCAAAACGTATATACCCTAACAAAAAAGTACGACGCTAACAGAGTGTACTTAACTAGCGACTTATTTTGTAATTCACTGTTTCCGAGACGATGTTTTGGAGTTCTTGGTTAACGACATTAATGGACTAAGAATCATTCAATCATTATGAAGATGGAGCCAATTACGGAAATTTACTAGAACTGTGGATTCATTATTTCATGTTTTCCTCACCTCACATTTAGTATGTATAGTGGCTCCTCGATAAGTAGAATGTAATGTACCGCTTCTGCGAATGACAGTTACTTTAAAAGTAAACGTTTCTGAATTTCGTATTTTCTCCATGGTCCTTGTGGACAATTGGCGCACAAAACGCTGCATTTTGTTTGTCTTATTGAAGAAAAAGTTTACTGTAACACTTCGAACTATATTCTAAGCACTTGCGAGTTTCTTGTAATCGTGATTTATATAGCCCTTATAAAAAGCTATGGATGTATCCCAATGATAGACCTATTTCCACAGTATATTTAGTTTATATCTTTGCCTAATGTTTGCGGCGTTGATTCGCGGTATAGACTGGGCTATTATTGTTCGGACGCTAGATTAAAACGTAAGTTCGCGATTATCTTAGAACGGTTATCGCAATGCAATATTACTCACATGTAGAACCATCAGCGGATTAAAGTGCGGATTAACGAATATTTACGAGTCAAGTGGGCAATAAACATCTTGATAACTCTTCCGCCCATGCCATATTTTTAAGTTATATTTGTGACTGAAAAGTGAACTTTTCCAACTTTTTTTACATAGATTGTATAAATTAGTATATATTCAACATAATTTGTTTTGTAATTACCTCTTTTATTTTTAGTGGTGTTTCGTGTAGAATATTTCAATAAAGTGTTTAGAAATCTCTTTCGTGTTACATTATTATATTGATAAGGTCAGTATTAAAGTTTAACAAAACATAGCTGATAACGCATTTGATAGTATTTAATATGTAAGTACTGCTGGATAAATATTTATTAATTTTGAAAGTAGTTATTGTCTCGCAACAAGTTTACCTTACTACATATAATCGTATAGTTAATTCAGGATATGTTTTATTACAAAATTGTAATTATAAGAAATAATTGGATAACTGTTTATTGAGTTTCTGTAATTTAATTTTCACATTAATAATTGTATAAATAACACTTCAGAAATGCAAATGTAGGCGATTTTTGAGACATTGTTCTAAAGGTGAGTGTGTCACCAGTGTGTGTGCGTCGGTGCTTCACGTCAGCGATATGTTCTATCACGCGGGTTTTAATGGATCTTTTAGCTTTTTTAGGACGTGAAGAACCGACGCTCTGGGAAGTCTGCAGTCCGTGAACCTGTTCAAGATCGTTCCCGCCATTACGGCCGATTTGATAGACCACAAATCCTCGCAAAAGAACACCGATTCCAACCAAGGATGATACGCGAGGCTATTGAAATTAAAAAAAACATCCTAATTTCAATAGAGAAGATGGATGGGTGCTGCCATCTGCTTGGGATCCCTTAATTAACAAAATTAAATCCAAACCCAAGCATACCACTGCTAGACTTCAAGATACTGTAAGTTCATTCTGCGTAAATCGAACCAAAATTAATATTAAAAACTGAAGGTTGCCGGACTAACTGTGACATCGGGACGTCAAACATCTCAGTCCCCTCCGTGACCATGGGTTGCTGTAAAGCACCCGAAACGTCGGGAATTAAAATAGTAAATCAAACGCGATAAAATCCGTAAAAATAAATAGTTTTATTCAATATATTATACGACATGAAAAAGGCCATCATCTACAATTCCTAAGAAATTTAAGGCTAGTCCTTCCGACCGTGTGATCATGGGCCCTCTTTTCTGGGATAGTCAAGGTATAGTAATTATTGAATATCTGCTATCGTTACGGGCTGTTTGTATGCAGAACAAATAAAAAAATTGCTCAAAGAATCAACGGGAAACGGCGAAGCAAACCGACTAACATATTTTTCACCAAGTTAACGCCCCGGTTCACAAGTCAGTCGTAATGGTTGCAATTCGAAATTCTTGATTCGACTTGAGTCAGGCTTTGTATTGACCAGAACTTGCACCTAGTGATTTGTATGTATTTCCGAGATTGTAGCAATGTTTGAGAGGATAGAGATTTGAAGATGAGTCGCTGCAGTACAAGAGTTTTAGAGCTCACGATGAAGTTTTTTTAGGAAGGAAATTATAAGCTTAAAAAAAGACATTCCAATAGTATTACACTAAGTGATTTCATTTGCCAAAAAATAAATTTAGTATTAATAAAGTAAAAGTTGCCTGCACACACCGTAAGGGAAGTAGCGAGTTATTCCCAACACAAGTGTCTATGACTACATAAAGGGAATACTCGACAAATCTTTGTTATAAGACTTTTGAAAATAAAGGAATTTTTATTTTTATTTTATTTACATACTCATTCTCACTTTTTATTGCCCTAACTGCAGAAAAACATTAAGCAAATAAGTCTTAGCTTGTGAATTAATTCAAGTAGGTAACAAGATTATCAAGTTAACAACTCACTGTTTACAATAATTACAGGGCTATATTTTTGCAGAAAACTATTGAGGGTCAATCGCTATTATGGACATTGTTCCTCAGTCCCCTTTCATGTATTAGCTGCTGTTGCTCCTGTTGATGTCTATTGAAAACAGATGACGGTTCGTTTGGGTAATTATTTTTTTAAACATTAAATATTTTACGAATCATCATAAAAGTTATAGCAAAGCATATTAAAATTCAAGATTGATTCAACATTAAAATTGGAATGTAATTGAAATTCAAATACGTGTACGTCATTTTATACAATTTAAAAAAGTTAAGGATATTTACAGTTACGCCAAATATTGTGTTAGTAAACTCTAATATTATATTTTTAATAATGCTTAACTTGAAATAGTACGATCTTAATTAAAATTAGGTAGGTATCTGCCGCCCCACACGTCACATCTATGTATTATTAGTATAACAAAATTTTGCTATTTTAATTAGATTGTGTTTACCTAATTATATACCTAGTTAAAGATCTTTTAACAAAAAGATATGGATCACCAAGGACAATCGGTCACATTCCCCGATAGTAATTACCGCTTACATTTGACGTTTATTTAACTCAAATTGCCGTGTCAGTTTTCACCACATGGAGAACAATTTTGGTTAATTATGTGTAAACTGCTGCTCATTCAACGAACGAAATGATTAAAAATGACGACACCGTTAAAATATCAACAGCGGCACACACCGTGGCAAAAGAACACGATCTCACCTTATCATTGTCGAAAGTTGAAGACCTCTCGGGCGACGGAGTTCTGAGTCGCACCATGTCTATCCATTTCATAGTCTGCATTAGTACAGTAACAAGTTTCGATACATGAAAAGTTACAAACACGTGTCACTTGGCGCGTGAACGATGCTCATAAAAGCAGAAGTGAGCATATGCAACGTGCACGTTTTTCTAGTTTTATTTTTTTTATAAATCTATAGTCTCAACACGATTGCGTGTATCCGTAACGACTTGACACAGAACACTGCGCGTTGAACGTTTGCTTATAAACAAGAGTCGTTTGTGTGCATGCTGTTGGACGTCCGGTTTAATAATAGCCGTAAGCCGTCCATTAATCGCGGAAACGTTCGTCGTAGTTACTCTTCGTTTACTATAATCGTTGCTCTATTGAAGCGTTTTCGAAACAGGCGCTGCGCAGACGCAAGTATACCTCTAAGTATGGCTGGTTTGGTACTAGAGGTGAAAGAAACGGACGAAGAATGCTTCTGCCCCACCACCATCGACGTACTTGCGACAAAAACTGCAGCGCGCTCTTGAAATTAAAGTTTATCGTCCGCCGCTGTAAATTATCTGCACCGGATAACATTATACTCAGGGGGTCATGTTATTATGAGAACGAAAGTTTGCGTTAATTTTAAAATAGTGATTAATTGACATACAAGTGATCATTTCTAATTGGAAAATCTCTTCAAAATAAAAATAAAAATAAACAAAGGAGAGTCAACAGCATTTTTTTGGTGCAAGCACGCGCGCGGAGAAGACTCAAAGAAAATCGGCTGAGAATTGCTAACAAAAACCGAAGAAATACCTAGTCAAGTAGATATTATGAAGTACAGTTGTTTAAATTTTTGGAACAGTATAATTATTAATAATGCCGTCATCTGAATTTAACAAAAATATATATATATATATATATATATATTTCTTATAACGTTTGGATTATTATTAAATTAATTAGATATTGATAAATTACGTCACTCATGTTACGAA